TGTGTGTGTGTGTGTGTGTGTGTGTGTGTGTGTGTGTGTGTGTGTGTTGGCGTGGCTCAGCGTGTGCCCTCTCTGAAAGACATGGCTGCCTCCAGCAGCTGTGGCTGTTCCCCATCAGAGATCCTGAGGATGGAGAGGATCATCCTGGACAAACTGAACTGGGATCTGCACACCGCCACCGCGCTGGACTTCCTGCACATCGTACGTCTGTCGCACCCTCACTGTGTCTGACATGATCAGAGCTTAGTGATGATTCTGATGATTATTGATGTGTGGTTGTATGAGGTGCTTCTCCATAGTCAGTGTGTTACTACAGTAGATGTAGTTTAGAGAAGCAGCACGGGAGCAAAGCGACATACTGCTGTAAACGTATTTTAGACGCCGAATAGAATCTATATCAGTTTATATGAACGCTATATTTAGAATATTTCCACCTCTTCACCTTGCCTTCACACAGTCCTTTCTGACAGGGAAGTGAAGCCTTTATCTGTGCTCTCTTTAAAGACACAGGACTCCTTTGATCTGTCCAGCCCAGTAGCCTGTTTGTATTGTTATGAATGTTAGTCACACCCGGGGGCAAAAACACAGTACTGTCTGCCTGCTGGGTAATGTTTGTTTTCTGTGCTTCATGTCCTTTAGTTTATTATACTTTAATAAGTTCCTCCATCTGATAATGTTTCAATACATTCATTCACATCAGGTGTGTTCTTACAATCTGTAGATCTTACAGCTCTATTCAATTAGAGAGAGAGAGAGAGAGAGAGAGATCCAAAGTGAGTCTCATGCGGGCGGTTGCTCTCACGTAGAACAACCTCAATAGAGTGTATTCAATATCTCGCCCACACCTATGTGGATGTGTACTGACGTAAAGTTTCTAATCTGGGTTGAAATTGTATAACTAATGGGACAAAACTTGTATTGCTTTTAAAATGTACTTGATTTTCATAACCTTACATTCTTTACCAGCCAACAGAGGTAATGCTGGTTATTTCCTCCTCTCCCATAGTTCCATGCGATGGTGTTGTCGTGCCGTTCGGGGTTTTTGGACTCCATGTTGGGACTGAACCGCTCTCAGCACCTCACACGGCGACTCTACCACTGTCTGGCCGACCACACGCTCACACAGGTTCACACACACGTACTCTTTATATTTAACACCATTGATTATCTCTGGTCAATTTAAAGCATGTTCTGTCTTTGAACATAACACAGAGGACAGGTTTTCGTACATCTGGACCTGTTACCTGCCCGAACACTGAACAAGTTTGTCCCTCATGTGTTCCTGTAGCTCAGAGGATCCATGCTGGCCTTGGCCCTCGTCACCCTGGAGCTGGAGACCTGCTGTCCTGACTGGCTGGCTCTTACCATAGACCTGCTGAGGAAGGCACAGGTACCAGACTGACTCTTTTTCATCATTACCGTCAACATGAGGTCAATCAGAAGGATCATGTGACCAAAACAAATAAGCAGCCGGAAGCTTGAGCTTCTGTGAAAGAGGAGAAAGCTCCTGTAAGTTTAATTTAGTTACTTACGGATCAACATGAGTAGATACTTTGTCTACTGTTTCCTGGTTAAGATTCCCCCCCCCCCTCTCTGTTTACCCTCACAGCAGGCAGTATGTTGTGCTGACATGTTTTGTCATATGCAGTTATCAGTATCACAGACTGCATGTAAACATGTCATATAAAACAGTTTAATAGTATTAAACACAGAGTTTTTTTGTTCCTGTAATGAGCACTACATCCTCTAGAGGACACGTCTTTCTTACCCCTCTCCTCCTCCCCCTCTCTCTCCTCCTCCTCCTCTTCCCCCTCTCTCTCCTCCTCTTCCCCCTCTCTCTCTCTTCCCTTCTTCCCTTCTTCCTCTCTCTTCTTTCTTTCTCTCTCTCTCTCTCTTTCCTCCTCTTCCCTCTCTCTTAGATCGACAGCTCCGAGTTGATTCGGAGTCGAGAGCTGGTGGCTCGTAGTCTGTCCACACTGAGGGCTTCCCTGCCTCCAAACACTGTCTACATCTACCAACCCCTTCAGAGCCGGACCACCCTGCAGCCTCCGGCTCAGGACCCCGCTCTCCCCTGCTGCACACTGGGTAAGTTTTACCCATCTTACAGCTCCCTCTAGTGTCTCCAGAGGGAGCTGTGTGAAGTCTGATATATGTCCTCACATTAGCCACAACTAGTTGCATGGTGGGTAATGTAGGCACCGGGTTTTGAGAAGGAAAAATGTCGACATCTCTGGTTCTGCTGCATCATTTGTTTATTTGAAACAAACGGCACAAAAAGTATTTCTGCATCTTTTTTCCTTCCAGGGATCATCACCTCCACCACTGAGTCTTCCAGGGACCATGCCCTCGCCACCGCCACCCCTGCCCAGCTAAAGAGCACTGCTGGTGGGGAGGAGAGGAGCCTGCAGCCCTGGATCTCCATCTCCTCCACCACCAACAAGAGCAGCATCCCAATTCTAGTCCCTCCACCCAAACACCTCTGCCCCCTTAAGGTCACACTGCGCTGCAAGGCGTCCGCCAAGCGCAAGGTACGATAACCAAACCTTGAGGAAAAACTTTGTCGACTGTTAACGTTCGTCATTATCGTGATTTGGGAGGAAAAAAACGTAACGTGATGAAACATGCAGCCCCCCCGTGTTCTGGTTCAGTTCACGCGGTCACTCATGAGTGGAGCTGGGTCTGGATAAAGGTGGAGGTCTAAACAGACCTGAAGGGAGAGCAGTACAGCTGGTTTTACTCCCTTTCTTGTTTTTATTCCTTTTATTTTATCTGTGTTCCATGACTAAAACTTTTGAAAATGAGATCTCGTTCCATTTTCCTTGTTTACGTTCATTATGATGGGGTTAGATCGTGCTGCTCGCTACTTTCACTGAGAAGAGTTAACAACACTTGGCTGGGTCATTTTTTTGAATCCAGCGTATTCTAACTAGTTTCTCAAGATTCTTTGGTTTTTCTAAGTAAAACAGAGGAAGCCTCACCGGTTCCTGCTTCTCAAATGTAAATGTTTGCTGGTTGTCTTATCGTTTGGGTAAACTACTGTCACCATTAACTGATTAGTCATGAGTTCAGGAGAGTGACTGCTAATGAAAAGCTGTAGAGCCGAGTCATAACGTAGGTCTTTCTGTGTGTTCAGGTGGAGGAGATGGAGGTGGACGACTTCTACGATTGCATCAAACGGCTCTACAACGAAGATATCACCACCACCGCCGTCCACGAGGGGGCAACACTTTCGAAGGGAGCGGTAGGAGGAGGAGGAGGTCTGGGTGTCTGCAGTGTCCTGTTGACCCGACAGGAAGGCAGCTCTACCCCCTGCCCGCCTCTGCAGCCAGTCAGTGCCTCCTAGAGACCAAACAGAAGCCTGTTAACCAAAACCACCTTCACACTGACATCCTCCGTCACTTTCAGAGGAAAGTCCTCAATCAGAGACGGGCAACTCTCTCAGCAATGGGCAACGTTGATTAAGAGAGATTTTAATGTTTCCATTTGCATTAATTAAAAAAAGCAGCTCCTGAGGAGACGTTGCCGGGTAAAATGAACCTTTACATCGCTGCTGTTGAACTGCAGTAGAACTCGTTGATCTTATAATAAACATAAAGCAGCGATAACGGATGATTTCAGAGGATAAGGTGGTTTTGGTTTCAGTGCAAATGACCCCAGCGTGACCCCGAGCTGTTCAGCTGTCCTGAGGTCAGTTCCCATCAGCCCCTGCAGCAGGAAAACAGAGCCCAAAAAAAGTTAAACATTCAAAAAATAAAAAAGTGCTGCTACTATCCTATTAATTCTATTTGTTCAAATACACTATAACAAAAGGTTAAAAAAATACATAAATAGAAAAGTTACCTTTTTTTAAAAAATAAATAAATAAAAAAAAAAACTAGAATGGATTCCCTCCCCCCCTCGTGTCTCTCTGTCCTGTTTCCAAAGGTCATCGTTCGTCAACTTATTTTTGTTGTTCACATCTTAAACTTTCATGTCATATATTTATGTTTTTCATTCCATGTCCCTCCCTGTCCTTCATCCCTCTGCATGTGTTCATAGAGTCTGATCTAAATGTGTTCTCTGTATCACGCAGCCGGATAGAAAAAAACTTTTTGTTGTTTTTCTTTTAGTGAAGTGCAATTTGATTGTCAATAAGATGCTAATATCGATATCCCTCCTATGAATCTGTTCCCCTCCCTCAGCTTGTTGTGACGGCTTGACTGAATGAACGTTTCTCAGGTTGTTTTATTGCCCCGCAAACTAAACGTCTTTGAAGCTGCCGCTTGAATCTGGCTTTAGTGCTCGTGCAGCGACACCGAGAGATGTTGATCATTTCCTAATAATGCACCCGCTCTCAGCTAAAAACCCCAAAAGTCGTTTTCTAACGAAAACATCCAGATATTCTGAACTTTGTTGTCCTCGTACCAACAGGTCCCTGGTAACAATCTGACTGCACGTGGTCTCTATTGAAGCACCAAGAGGGAATTATTGTTCATATATTCGTATGTAATAAAGCAACCTTGTTATTTAAAGCATTTGATATTAAGCTAAGAGAAACATGTGGTTGTTGAGTTGGTGTCTGAGCTTCAGGAGGATAAAGTGGACACCTTGATGTTTCAAAAAGAAAAGAAAAAAAACACGCTAAAACAATACGCTCTGTTGTTATTGAAGTTCTGTTTAATATATTTGTATTCCTGCAAAAAGCTCTTTCCTGCTGTGGGAGCTGCTGGTGGCTGCTCTGGGTCCCTGAATGCACCACGGCACCAATAAATGAAGAGATAACAGTACAGAAAACTGAGTGAGCTCTTTGTCTTCATTTTATCACACAAATACATTGAAGTTCTACAACTGAACACCAACACACTGCCGGGGGTGATGATGTGATGATGTTGCACTGTGTCTGCTGCATGTGGAAGTCCCAGCTGTTGGCTAACATGTTACAACTTTACAAGTCTAGAAGTTGTTATTCTTATGCCTTAAGTTTAAACTTTAAAGGGTCGGCCTATTTCAAATAAGAACAATATTTTAGCCGTCTATCGCTGGAGATAGTTTTGGTTTCATTTTTGCAGGCTTTGAGATTTGACAGCATAAAAATTACATAAATCTCTTTACAGAGAAATATCACTGTTGAGCCAGACCTCGCAACTTATTAATAAATCACTGTTTCCATCAATATAGAAATCTCTGCCTAATAGAACCATTTAGTAACTTAACTCGCTGCTCTGTGAGGCAGTGCCGCTGTTAAACATACGTGCCGTGTCAGCATGCTAGTTTAGTGTGTCAGCATGCTAACATTTGCCAAGTAGCACCGAACACAACTGAGGCTCATGGGAATCTTATTTGTTTTGCAGGCATTGAGTCGCTAACCAAATGGTGGACAAAATAAAATTGTGACCCGATAATGGTGCTGAATGAAATGTTCCAGGATCATTATTATTAAAATTTATCCTGAGGGACACACACGTAAAGACAATAAGTCCAATAGACTTAAAACCACAAATGTGAACCTGCTGGTGAATCATCCTCTGGGAACACTGAATGTCTGCACATGATGTAGTGCCAATCCATTTGGTGGATGTTGAGATGTTTCACAGAATAAAGGAAAACTTTGACTTCCTGGTGGCCTAAGAAGAAAGGGTCAGGGTCACCAAAGTCAGTAGGGTTCATCCTCTGGGGACCACACATTTCTGGACACAATTTCCTTGCAATCCATCTAACAATTGTTCAAATATTTCAGTCCGACCCAAAGTGGTGGCCAAAAGAATCCTGCTGATTGCTTTGTCAGCAGAATGACGGATGAATGGCCATCGATGGAACAGACTCACTGCAGCAGAGCGAGTCATCTGTTCAGCTGAAGGTCTTCTACCAGCAGACACACTCAACAGAACACAGAGAAGCACTACTCATCGCTTCACTGAAGGTTTCAGCTCCCAAATACATTTCTGGCCAGTTTCAACGTTGAAACTTCATTCAAACATCAAAATGTTCAGCTCCCCGAGGACATGATCATATATTTTAGTTTTTGTATCTTTCATACTTTCCCAAATCTCTTAACGTTTTCTGTGTTCCAGAGTTAGAGTGGTTCAGTATTCTGTTGAACAATGAACATTGTAATGGAAGAACAATGTAATAGAACGCCACAACAGAACAATGTAACAGAACGAAAAAATGTAATGAAACAACGGAACAAATACGACTACTACTACTACTACGCTATATGAAGCGACAATTGCGAAATTTTGTAGTTTCTCATGTCGTTCTCCAAAATGAGAAAAGTGGTCAGAGACCAGATCATTTAAGAATAGTCACAGATAATAAACAATCTAAGAGCCCAATATGATCAGAATCATAACACTGCCCAACAATGATGTGAACAGAGGAGTAGAGCTGAAACAAGAGGTTTAATAACCACAGACAAGTCCCTGCACACATTTTTCTCTTTTTAGAAGATGAAAAAATACATCATTGTTTTTATGGGTGACATCACTTCACACCTGAAAAAAAGTGAAATACATTTTTCTTAAAAACATTTTTAAAAAGCTTTGTTGTGTATTTTATTTTTTTTTAATCCAGTCCTTATTTTACTTGAAATGATCGAAGAAACTATATTTATTATTAGAGTATTCCTTTTTATAATTCATCCAGTTCACTTTGAAATCTGACAATATTGTTGAGATAGAACTTTCTATATATGAAATGACAGTCACATACACACACACCACATACAGACGTTAATACAACGGTTGGCTACTTCAATATACATGGGACTAAATCAGAGCACAAGTTGGACATTAGTGTGATGTTCTGGACCTTTGCAGGAGGAAATTCTCTCTAAATGGACCTTGTTGAATTTTAATTGAATACCCCTGATCTAGCATAACGAAAAATGCCATAGTATTTGTCGGAAATAGCCGTTGTATAGTATGTTGTAAAAAGTCATAGTATGGTATCTCAAAAAAACGTCACAGTATAGTATGTCAAGGCAAGTCATAGTATACAGTAGTATGTCGAAAAGTCATAAAAACATCATACTGTACTATGTAGAAATGCGATTCCATAGTATGTAATATTGATAAACATCATTGTATAGTATGTCAAAAATACAAAATATTCAAAAAAAGGTCATAGCATAGCATGATGGAGAAAGAGTGATAGTATAGTGAAGACTGTCTGTGGATTCTTCCTCAGATATTCACAAAGCCTTTACAGATCAACAGCTTTGAAAGACCGAGTACTAGCGTGACTAAATAATGTTAATTCAAGGTCCACTTACCAGCTTCATCGTGAACTTTCACTCACATCCCAAAAGTCTTCATCAGACTTCCCTGGTGTACCGAGAGATGTTTCTCAGTCCAAATATTCAGTAACATGAATATAACACTGTAGAATAATAGAAAATCTTTGCATTTGACAAGCAGACACCAGAGAATATTTGGCTTTTTGGCTTGAAAGGTTACTGAAGCGATCACTGAAGCTGCACACTCATTTCCCACAGATCAACTAATAAACCCAAGAGACCAGTTCAACAAAGAAAACCTCAGTACTGACAGACGATTCAGCTGCACAGCTAGAGAGACCAAGTCATTACATCAGTAAATAATACCGTTTGTTAAACAATGAATAAATGAAATGCATAACTTTATATTTTCTCTGTAATCTCCAATCCGTTCATAGAAAAGATGAAAAATGAAGAGAAGCTCCAGAATAATGTGAAAACCTAAAAAAAAAATAAAAACCAACCACTGCATTTAAAGATGTCAAAAATAAATAAACACCTCCAACTGTGTAACATATTTAATACTCAGTGTATAATACTGTACAAAGAACATCCAATTACAGTAAACTTCAGACCACAATCATTTACAAAGCACAACACAGCAGGTTTATCCCGGAGGCCAGTGGTAAAGGACAATACTCGTGTTTTCACGTTTTAAAAACACATCCTGATGAAGTGCAGTCTGATACAACACCATCATGTGTGATGGGCTCACACAGTTAAGCATCACTGCAGCGTATTACTACTCGCCTTCCATTCTTGTAGCTCCTCTCATTTATAATCAGCACTAATAATAACATCGCACTCACCGAGTTGAAGGAATAGTTTGTCACTTTGGGAAATGTTAGACACAGAAGAGAAGATTGACACGACTCGGTACAACAAACATGAAACCGTAGCCAGCAGACAATGAGCTTAGCACGAAGGCTGGAAACGGCTACAAAAGTAACAAACTCCACGTCTGAAGCTCACTTATCAATGTGTTCTATACTACAACGTAACTTTGTGGTTACACACAGCGCTGCATGCTGGTCTGGTGACTGTTCGTCTCACCTGGAGGTTTGTTTACAGCCCGTCTGATCATCTCTCTCCTCTTGGTCCTCCACCTGTCACACCTCTCAGTGATGTCACGGCATTCCCAAATCTCAGCTGGTGAGTACAACAGTGTTACTGATGGACAAAACTACCAAAGTAACACCCACCTTATCATAACCCAGAATTACCTTTTTTTATAATAAATCACCCTACCTATTTAAAACCCATGTGATTGAGAGCCAGCAAGATAGTGAAGCTTCACAAAAAGTAGTGCCGTACTGCAGAGCGATTTCATTGTACAGGTGTTCATGGATCTTTGTGCTCCCTGTATTCATGTCTCTGCATGTACATTTACATTTACATAGAAACAAAGTGAAACTAAAGGCTGCATGGAAGTGGATGGATGATTTGAAAACAGTTTAAAGAATACACAGTAACAAAGATCAGACGTGGGCAACGAGTGTTGAAAAGCTGCTTTCTTTGACTCTCGTGAGTGAATCACAGCTTCAGACTGAAACTGGAGCTCACGCTGCCCCGTGGCTCAGAAACGTCAACCTTCCGCTGTGTGTTTTTTCTTTGTCCTTTCACAACGATATCAGACGATCGCGTCGAAAACCGATCCGCTGGCCGATCAGCAAGTATTTGGCGAATCACCTCAAACAATGTTTTGTTTGGCACTCGTATCCGGTGAAACCGAATGCTCGGGTGCAGAAACCAGTGCTCCCCGTTGTTGCAGGTATTTGGACTGAGCTCAAGGCTTTTGGGCTGAAAGGGGTGGATCCCTTTTCTTTTTTTTACATAAATCTTTGGACAATGTGTAGGCTCAGTTAATCTACCACAAGAACAAGCATAGACCCAAACCGAGGCTGACAAAGTACCAAGAACAAAAGGTTCATATGACAGATGTGCTAAAACGTTCGGAGAAACTCGATCTTTTTAAACTCGGGACTGTGGGTTCGAGTTCAGGAAACGTGCTGAAACAGATCAGAGAGGAGAAACTTGAAAATCCACAGTGAAGTAAACACAGCTTTAAAGATCATGAGCAAATCCTGCTGATCTGGTTCCAGGTGTTCACTTTCATTGAGGTTGCAAAGTGGTAAATGGTTATGTCAATATTTAAGTCGCCTGCTGATTCTTAATGGGATGTGTTACTGTTGATCTACTGCCATATGGCACCGGCAAACTGCATGTCAATCCTGTTCCACTGTCAGATGGAACGTTTTTAAACTGAGGAGTCAGACTGGTGTCCGTGGAACCGCTGCAGCGTTTTGTGTTTGAGGAACGCGGCGATCGATGTCGACCTCTTGACCCTCGTCGTGCCCGTCATGGTCGGCGGCCTCTGTCCCGGGGAAGCGAAGGAGAGGTGATGGCGCCGCCGCCGGCGGGGCTGCTGCCGCTGCTCAAGGACAGGGACCTCTCCCCCGCCTCCCCCCTCCCCTCTGCTGGCAGGCCGCGACGGAGCTCCCAGCATCTGAAAGACATCCGGCGGCACGGTGCGGCTCAGGTACTGCCAGGGCTTCTTTCCCGCCGTGTCCCTCAGCTTCACGTCCGCGCTGAACTTGTTCACCAGTAACCGCAGTACATTGCTGTGGCCGTGGATGGCGGCGATATGGAGAGGCGTGTGGCCGCACGTTGACTTGGCGTTCATGTCGAACATCAAACCAGCCTTTTGAACTCCGTACCTGAAACCCGAGCCAGAGAAAGCAGTAAGCAGTGGCTGGTCACACAGAGTACATTCACTTACTTTACTAGAAATGTAATAGATATTCTTCAAGTGCATTTTGGTGTTCGTCAGCTTTTTACGGAACAATTAAAATACTTAGCAATAAAAACTAGAATACAAAGAACTTTTGACAGCAATTCAAGTGGTCTTGGTTCTGTTTTTAGCTAAGTGTTGTTCTGTTAATGAAATATCTGACCAGCCACTGGCTGGATTGACATGACATTAGGCACAGACAGTTGTAGTCCCCAGAGGATGAATCTGGGAGTCTTTACCTCTAGCACAACAGCAGGACAACGCAGGCGAGTCCAAAGCAGAGCGGGGATCACACTTTGAGAGCTGTACCAGTAGTGGAGCTAAACCAGTTTGTCCTAAAGCTGCCATTAACATCTACACGGTTCATCCTCTGGGGGTCTTGAATGTGATCAGGTTTAGGACAACCCCCATTTGATTTAAGATATTTCTTGAGTACAAGTGGAAATCTTGGATCTAATAGTGACGCTAGAGGAAATGGAGGTCAGAAACATCTTTAGGGATCATGCTCTGGGGGCCATGATTATCCATGCAATATGTTGTGAAATTTTGTACATATGTGCAGAAAAACATCAGAGAACCATCAGAAGCATAACAATCCATGTGACTAGTTCAGATATCACAAATAACGGCCCTCAAAGCTCTGTAATGTTCAAGTGTCGGATCTCTAAGTGAACCAGACCTTCCTGTTTTACAGAATGTGAATCGAACAGAGCTAACCGTTAGCTGCGTACCATAAGGTGTTGAGGACTCTGTGGTCGCCGTGTTTTGCAATCCAGTGCAGCACGGTGAAGCCGGAGATGAAGTCTCGCCTGTTGAGCAGAGACGAGTCCTCTCTGAACAGCGTGTAGATGTCGGGCCAGGCCCCCGCGGCCCCCTTCACCAGCCAGGCGTGCTCCCTGGGCTCCAGAGGAACCAGGGACTGATGACAGGGGGGGGGGGGGCAAACATCAACTTGATCAATGTGAGAGTCAGCCTATAGTATCCGGTAGACGATGTGAGGGAAAGACGCCACCCCCTTGTTAAACTGCCCCCCCCCCCCCCACCAATTAAGATGAATTCATGTAGGCGGTTATTGATGTAAAGAGGAGAGTCAAGAGTCACATGCACATTTAAAGAGGTTAAATCCCCAAACAGAAGAGGATGGAAATCATGCCTACATGTGTTGCCTCAGCAGAGATAACACTCACTGACTCACAGTTGGTTCCATCATTTCAAAGGGACGTTTAAAGAGAAACAGTGTGCTGTCTAGAAGTGTCACCTGCCGACTGGAGACTTCATGTTGAGCGATGGGGGAGGAGGCTGCGGCGGGAGAGCTCCTCCTCCCCGCTCTCCCTTCCATCCCCTCGCCCAGGTCGGCGAGGCTGTGGCAGCGCGGCGGCGTGGAGCAGGACGACAGCGAGGACGACGACAGGTCGTAGCGCAGGCTGAGCGACGAGGAGATCAGGTAGAGACGGTTCAGCCGGGCCGCCTCGCTTCCTCCCCCCACCCTCGCCTCCTCCTGGAGGATCTGGTCGAGGTCGGCCCCCAGGCTGCGGCACATCCGGCTCCTCAACCGGCTGCTGAGCCGCCTGGCGGCGGACGGGTGCGGCCGCAGCAGCGTCGGTGAAGAGGTGGAGCCCTCGCTCGACTCCGCCTCCTCTCGGTCGTCGTGGAGATCACCTGCCGGGGGTTTGGAGTTCAGGGTGCTTTAAAAAAGCTGGATGCTGCGACACTACATCAGAAAAGATCATTAAAAACCCAAAAATGTGTTCTGACCTGTGGAGAGGTGCCACTGCATCACGCGGTCGTCATGGAGATGGTCCAAGGAGCGGTGGAATGGTGACAAGCGAGCTGTGGCCTCCTGGTCTCCGTGGAGATGGCCTGTGGAGTGATGCCATGGTGCCGTTGTTTTACTGGTGAGATGCGGCACGGACTCCAACTTCTTCCCTTGGGCTCGGTGGATCGCTTCCAGGATTTGAGACCCGCCCCCAGTCACACCTGTTGACAGTTAAAGAGACAGATTTATTATTCTAATGTCTGTTTTCTGCTCTCAGCAGGGATCTGCCTTAGAGCCTTTCCATCTTCAGGTTGTTTACTTATTCTTTGATCAGATAGTTTTTGGAGAAAAAAGAAAAAAATGTGAATTTAGTATCGTTTAGTTCAGTTCTTGTATGGTTGCTTGTGTTTACACAACATTTAGTATTTGAGACGTTTTGGCTTCCAAACACACTTCCATGGACACTGTAGAATTTTAGCAAACATGACTCAAACTGGTGGAAATAGAAAGAGAGACTATTTTGTGCAGCGGATTAATCCACATTTGGTGCTCTGCTGAGTATTTGTGGCAGCGGGTTGGCGTATGTGGGTTTGAGTCAAAATAAACTACAGTGTGTGTGTGTGTGTGTGTGTGTGTGTGCTCCAGGTAATGAAGGAACATGTCACCAAGTGACCCAGTGTGGTTTACTGATGTAGTTTTGGACAACAATGGAGCTCTATGGAACAGATATATCATGATACTGGTTAGTAAAATAATTTCGCAATCGGTTTCGGTCTTTTTAAAGAGATTTGCTGACAATGTAGAACATCACCAGACTCATCCTTTAAGGTTAAAGTACAGAGTGCTGCCGTACCTGCTCTGGCCTGTGGGTCTTCATAGCTGCTGTTCCCCCCCGGTCCTCTGGGGGAGCCAGACTGCGGCCGCTCGCTGCTGGACAGGCCTGCGTCCGACGAGGGGTAGAAGGTGCTGCTGTGGCTAGATGAGAGCCACTCCTCCCCCTGGCTGTGATTCGGCCCCTGCCTGGTCTCCAGCTGGACACCTCCGGGATGAGAGTACCGGCGGTCTGCGTGGACGTCGCCGTGAGGCACCGCCGACTGGATGTGGCGCTCTGCCTCTAAAGGCAGGCTGCATCTGGTGGACTCCCATGGAACTGACCCGGGTTCTAGTCCTCTCTGCAAGCTCCAGCCTGGCCCACCAGGGGGCATCGTTTCCGAATCCTGGACGAAAATCTTCGGGATCTGCCTTTCTGATGAAGAGGAGGAGACGACAGAGGGAGGAGCATGCGGATCTACGATGCACGGAGAGGAGGCGGAGATGGCCGACCCCATGTCTCCGAGAGGATTGCTCGGGGGGCACGCTCCTCCTGCTGAACCCCGCCTCAGCTGGAGCTCCTTATCCTCCTCGTCTTCATCGTCATCATCATCATAAGAGACGGCAGATTTGTAGCTCGGCCTGTGCCTGAAGCGACGTGGGGCATCCTGCGGCTGAAGACCGACGTGATGAAGAGGAGGCCCCTGATGAAGTCCTCCCTCAGGCTGCGGACAGGCCTCCCTCCCTCTGAGGGCTCCGGGGACCGGGACCTGCTGTCTGGTTTCTTCATGACTTCTGACTGCTGCGACTACAGGTGTGATCACAGGAGGCGGGCCAAAACCCACCCTGAGCTGTCCCACTTGAGTGCACTGATCTGGTGCAGGGGGCTCAGACGGACTGGGGGTCTCAGGTTTCTCTAAGATCTGACTGACCACCTGAGCCGATCCTGCTGGTCTACCAGGAAGTCCAGGTGTACTGATTACCTGTCGCTGGTTCAGGTTCAAATTTGTTGCCACATTTTTGTTGTTGTTGTTGAGTAGGATCCCAGCCGAGGGTAGGATTGTTTTCCCGGCTGTAACTCCCAGCGGGGCGGGTGTCGTCACCTCCCTCACCCGCGGTTTCTGCAGAGGTTCCGCTGCGCTCCCGGCGGGGCTCGGTACGGCGTTCTCCGGGGAGGGCTCGGCGTTCTTCCCGGCGGGAAGTCGACTCGGACGCGGCTCGGAAGATCCCCGTTCGCCGCCGCCGCCGGGGACGTGTCCTTTGAACTTCTTCCTGAGAAAGACGTAAGAGACGCCGTCGACCTGTCTGACGACGGCGACGGAGTTGACGAACTTTTTGAAGAGCTCCCGGTTGCGGTTCCGGTCCGCATGGTCCCTGATGAAGTTTCTGAAGTGCAGAATCAGATCCGAGTTCTTCACCGAGCCTCCTTGGCTCTGGAGGAAGTGCAGCAGCGTGTCCTGAGTGAAATCTGTGGCCATTCTGGCGTTTACGTGACTTCACGCGCCTACCGTCTCTCTCTTCCGCTCTGCTGGTCTCAAAGGTCGGCCAGTGGTTTCTGTCAGGGGGAGCGAAGCTCCGCCCTCCTCAGGTATTTATCCCCACACTACCTGCGGCATTCCTGCAGGTTACCCGGATGTTTAAATGGCGCTATCTGTAGAACGTACAATTGTGCCGCTCCTGTGATATTGTGAGACAGGAACTAAATGTACCTGCAACACCTGTCCAATAATGGCATATGCAGGCTATGATCAATGTGAATACAATATTTTTACAATTATAATAAGAATAAAAAAGTATTGAATCGCTTCACAGACACCTGCAAATGTTGTTGTGAGTGTAAAACATGTATAAGTATATAAGTATTAAAAGACACAAACATTCATGAACAGTACTTTATATTTCAGCTGGCAGATCAAATCAAAGTAGCTGATTCAAATATTTGATTTAGTTATTTTTAAAAATATTCTTGCTTCATATTGTTTGATAAAGTCTTAGCAAGTTTACTTGTAAATGTTTCCCAAGACTGCAATATTGGAAATGATCCTTATAGACATACTGGATAGATATTCTTGTTTTAACAAGAAGAATAGGGAGAGTGGACACCCAGATTAAAGGAGGTTTATAAACTGATTCAAAAAAACATTATATGAAAACAAAGAAATAGATGTTTATGTCAAAATGCAACTCTAACCAACAATCCTTTTTTTCAGCCAGACAGCAGGCGGACAGACAAACGTACAGCTTACTGAAGAAGTTCACTAAAGTCTGCAGCCATTTGAACCTCAGACCACCGAGAGCCACATGACCCCATCATCTCTATTCATTTATAGGTTAACTGTAAATGTTCACCCTCAAAGATAAAAATCACCCTAAACATCACATCTCAGGTCCATGTATTTTTTTGTATTCTGGAAGAGAATTGGTCCAACATATTGTCGATGCAGCTACAATGTGTTTTGTTCAGTGTGCAAACACTCTATTGTGTGTGCGTGCGTGTGCGTGTGCGTGTGAGTGTGCGTGTGTGTGTGTGTGTGTGTGTGTGTGTGTGTGTACACTGACCTGCATTCAAACTCTTATTTTAGTAAAAGTATTAGCATCAAAATAGATTTACCAAAAGTAAAAGTACTTATTATGCAAGCAGAATGGCCCATTTTACAATCATATACATATTATTATGGCTGGATTATAATGAATAAGTACTTATATACTCAAGTACAGTCAAAGTACCTCAAAGATATGACGGTTTCTTTCTAGAGTCTCTATTTTACACAGAACAATCCTACAGGAGACGTCCATCACAGAAAAGACAGACGGACGTCTTCACCCACGGCCACGCGGTCCGACTCTCCTGAGGAGAAATGTTTCAGTTTTTCACTCGTGGTCAAAACCAACCTCACGAGAATATTACACATGATTTGTATTTAACAATCCCTGCAGCTACATTAAGATTAATTTAAGTAATATTTTCTATGAGCAATAAAAAATAAATAAATGTAATCCATCTTCTTCCATGTTTCGTGTTTCATCTGAACGCCGAGTTTGGAAATCTTTTACAATATGATACAAATAATTGATTTAGAGTGTTTTGTTATCTGACAATGCTTTTTTTGCTATAATTGTCACTTCACACTGCACAGAGGGAGCAGATGAAACCAGCTGTAAACACAACACTGGTGTATTAGCACCATTTCATTTGATATGTTGACCGTGATGAATCAGAGTCCAACATGTCCGTCATCTTCTCCTCATCTCTGTCTGCCGTTTACTGATGAGCAGGTGGTGTGCAGTTGGTCATTTGAGCTTTTTCCACTGAAAACAGAATGCAGCCAGAAACATGGCTATGAGAGCAGTGAGAGTGAAGCAGAACAGTAAAGGTGCAGGTCCAGAAAATCCAAACCGTGAGCAGAAAGACACTTTAAACTCACCACGAGCGACCGCTTTCACATGACAGAATGCCATTTGAGACATTATCAATATTAGAATATTGATTATAGCTTCTTTGCTATAGTTCAGACTACGCACAATATCCAACACTTGCATGTTTAATCCCATGAATGGAGTCATAGTAGATATATTAATCAAATTCTGTTTGTGTGTGTGCAACACAACTTGAAGGAGACACGAAGTTAATTTACAAAATACATTTATTTTTGCAAAAAACAATGGAGCTGTTTCCTATTTAATTGTCCCTCTTTCAGAAAGCGAACATTGAATTTCATTCAAGGATAAAATGTCTTGAGATATTGTGTTGTGCCTCTGAGTGACAACAACGAACCATAATGGACTGCATGACGTGGGTTATGGATGAGGACATGAAGTGCACTGTGTGCTGTCGTGTTCAGAGAGTATGGCACACGGAGAATATTCAAAAGGTGCTCTAGAGACTAAAACAGTGAAAAGAAATGTGTACTGTCGGTGTAGAATGAAACGGGTCAGTACTTAAACTACGTATAAACCCTCTGTGTATCTTAGATTCCACACACTGATGCTGCTGTTAAACAATAAATATTGATGCTCCCCGGATTAACTGAACAGAAGGGAAGCCAAATGGCACCTGCTACATAGCATAAACTGGCTCCAGTGTGTACCTGATCATCACTGGCAGACGGAGGAGTGGGACAACGTGTTCTGAGAAAAACTACGGGAGCCCAGAGAGGACAGTGTTCTCACAATTGAAGGTAGACAATGCAAAGCAATCTGACTTCAAAACAACTTGAACATAATTATTGTGATGAGCGATAGAACATTATCCTTTGCATACATACATCACCTGGTCTCAGTACAAATTTGCAACATTTATGATTTTGGGTTCACCAGCAAAACTATTTCTTAGTTATTTCTAACTTTTCAGGACCACAGTAAAAAATATGTTCTGATTCCAGCAATTAATAATCCACTAAGTGGAAAGTTTAATAAGATTAAAGGGGCAATCAACTCATTTTACACCTAAAGATTAGCTTACTCATCATGAGTCTGTGGAAACCGGTGCATAATATCTACTGTGGAGAAGAAGGAGGAGAAGCCTGGGAATATAACCATGTCAATGATGTCATCAGGGTCATCACTGATTGGCTTTGAAATGTAGAACAGAAAGCCTGTGTCATGAAACTTTCCGCCTCCGCTGCTTCGATTTGAATCAATGTTATTCTAAAGCCCCCCCCCCAGCTTTATGGAAGTGCAGTACAATGACTTCCTCAGAAGACTAAAGAACCAACCACTGTTTTATCTGACAGAGGAGGACGAATGAAATCAAATTAAAATGTGATCAGAAAAAGGTGTGAGGCAGCTTGTTACTGGGAAGCTGTATGTTTATTGGAACCTGGAAAACTTGATCTGAATCCCAAACTGTGTGGGGCGTTTAACCATAATGACATAACTAGTCAGTTTAATGAACCCAGTGATTGACAGCACGTTCATCAGCAACGTCAACGATTGCTTAGTTGTCTTCATTTTCTTTCTGTGTTTCATGTCATAATAAATTAAATATCTGTTGGTACAGTATATCGGGGTGTTTGCTATTCACTTTTTTGGAGGTAATATCTGCCTGCTAACCCAAAACTAACTGAGAGATTATTCGTAGGTGAAGGTAATGGTTGCGGTTGTAAAATAAACTTGAAATAAAGGGAAAAAAGAATAATTGATTTTTGGAACAAACAAAACCTCAAATTCAAAATCAAAACCAAGTTGATGTCTGCAAACGATTCATCCTGTGACAAAAATCTTTGGAATCTAAACTTCTCCATTGTTTTTTTGACATCCCATGACAAGTAGAGCTATGTTGATCATTCAGTGTAAATTCTGCAGCAAACAGAAGTCAAGCTGCTACAGTAAAAACAAAAGTGCTACGAGCTGCAGACAGACAGTAGTGACAGTAGTAGTGTTACAGTATCATGTGACTTCTTCAGGATCCATCGCTCACATTCTGAGAGTTTTGATTATTTTTGTAGTCGTAAATTAGAAACGGCGTCCCTGCAATTTTGGTGTTGATTTATTACGTTTTTAACATGTGTGAAAGCTGAGCTGGTCTAGTGAAAATCTCTAAAGAGTTTGACAAGATAATATCTTATTCGAAAGAGGACGTAGTATTTTGTCTTTGGGAGGTTTAATACACCTGCTCCCTTCGTCTTGTCATGAGAAATAAAGAGTTTCTGGAAGAACGTCTGAATGTTAGAGGTTCCTGAAGGCACCGTCGGGGTTGCTAAAGGACAACTCCAGAGTGATCGGGAAAAGAAAAATCTATCCTTTGACTTTTAATTGGACCTGCTGTCTAACCTGTCTGCACCAGGATTGTGCTCAGTATTATTAAACTCGTCCGGAGCTGAGAACATCGAGGACCTCTGGCTTTCCAATCTATCTGGAAAATGGAGCAAAAATTAAAGCTGAAATTTACATTTACAGCTTTAAATCGCCGCTTTTGTCTTTACTGAGAGGGATATTTAGATATTGAGAGCAAACAGAAATTAAGTATAAGGTGGAAAACTGCAGAAAAGTATCCATAACACTGGAATTGTCTTTTTGTAGTATTCGACGATGAACTTACGACCTGAAAACCACCGATGGCCCTTAAAAATCACCATTCAGAGCAGAAGGTCATTAGAAATGTTGGCAGCAGTCGGTTTAGTCCACTAAGCACAGGTTCAAATGAGGTGTAACGTGCAGTACACGTGTGAATACAATGAGGCACATTATGTGAAGTCTGCATAGTTGTTTCAGTGTGAACGGAGCCAGTTTCAGGCTCCTCCTCCACGTAAAGCTCCTTCAGTTTAGAGCATCACTCGAGCTTTTAGGGAGCCAATTGTCTTGTCTTTCCCGTCCTTCGCTGCCACTCGCAATCGCAACCTGTCCGTGACATCACATTGACGTCACAGTGGTGGACTTGACAAAGTGGGCGGGGCCTGGAATCACAGAGGGCGGAAGAAGCGAAGGGCTCTGGGCGGGGCTTGATGAGGAGAACGGACAGCCTCTCGACCAACCGCGGGCCTCCGCCAGCTCCTGTGGCAGGCTCTCGGCCAGACGCGCTAGCTGCTCCTCCCCCTGCCGTATGAAGTCGTCGATGCGCCGCTGGCGGATCAACAGGGAGGGTTTAGTGCTGACGAAGCGCCGGTAGTCCAGGAGCTGCGGCTCGGCAAGGTAGCTGGACAGGATGGTGTGGACCACGCGCTGTCGCCGGTCCAGGTTCTCCTTCAGCTCCCGGGCGTCTTCGGTTTGTCCGAGGAGCAGAGAACGTTTGTGAAGGAGGGACTCCTGAGCGGGAGGAGAAGACAAAATGCGTGTCAGCTTCAAAACAATCTTGTTTATCACTTCACTGATACTTTAAGCTGTGCATGTCAACATCTAAATGGAGCACAAACGGAAAATTCAAACATCGCAGTGTGGATCTAAATTTCTGAATGGAAGTCACCGTGGTCCACTTACTGGATGGATTTGCACTAAACAGGCGTTTCTACTGTGGACATTTTGACATGCACAGTTGGAAAAGTAGTGAACATAGTCGATGTGACATCATTGGTTTTGTTTGGTTTTTTTGGCCATCGCCATCTTGGATATTTGCAATCAGTGAATGGAAGTGACCATATTTGGACTGTAGAGGAGTGACATAGAGACTCATATACCTGTCAATCACAAGGTAGCCCCGCCCTAAAGCATACCCTGTTTTTGACTTTAAATGGACCATCATTTACTAATTGTGTGACAATCATAGACTGTATATAAGAAGAGGACGTAGTCATCAGGACGTCACCCATTGATTTGTGATCTGCTGTTTTTGAAGCCTCGAGTTCGGCATTTTGACCGTCGCCATCTTGTTTTTTGCAACCAGTGAATGGAAATGACCATATTTGGACTGCGGAGGAATGACATATATGTCTCTGGTAGCTGTAGCGACTTGTCAATCAGAAGTTAGACACACCCTAAAGCATACTCTGCTTTATGGTCTGTTTGACTCTAAATGGACTCATGTTTACAATGTTTACTGAGGTAATAAATCAAGAGAGAAGTAGAGTCATTTTCTCATAGACTTCTATACAATCAGACTTCTTTTTGCAATCAGAGGAGTCACGGAAGTTTGAGGCACTTCCGCATTGGCTTCATTTTTCAGAATGTGAGGTTGCCACCTGGCACAGGTAAATGAATGATGGTTAAATTCCAATTAGCTGCTTCAGTTTCAGGGTCCTGATGCTGTGCATGTTGGCTCAATATGTGCTGGGAAAAATGCACAGACATGTTCCTCAGTGGATGAACCCCAATGACGAAATTCCTGAGCTGAGTGCCGACAGCAGGATAACATGTCAACAAACTTAATCTTAACATGTTACACTAAGATGACTAATGTTAGTATGTAACCACATACACATGGAAAGATGCTAAAAGGAACATGTTGATTGTTAGCATGTTGACATAGAAAGAATGAATTGATCATGTCAGTTTGAGAGTGACACAGATAAATAAAGAGTTAACATTACAGAGACAGTAAGACTCATCTCATCTTGTCATTGATTTAACATTGTTCTATCTGTGTCGTCCTCCATGTTACATGAGTATCTAGCTAAACCTCTAAAATGCTCTTGGAGCTCCAAATAATAACATGGGAGTCATATACGTGACTAAACCAAGACCTCTATATTTAGTGAACCCTTATTGGGACTTTGTGGTGAGTATTTATAATACCTAGAATATTTCATATTTTACAGACATGGCAGATTTGCATGGGGTCACAGGGGACCTTAAACCCAGCTACAGCTGGATGGGCAGGTAAACAGGCCCATGGGTAACAGGGAAACCTGTCTCACCCTCTCGCCTGCTGTGTCCTCCTGCGTCAGCTCCCCTCTCTCCAGAGCCAGCAGGGATCTGTCGATCCTCGACAGCCGGCTGCAGAGCGACAGCAGCAGGTTCACGATCCTCTCCAGGTCTCCTGCAAACACAAGCAGGTCAACGTCTCAGTTTCTGTCTATGCTGCAGCAACATCATCCAAAGCCCCATGGGAGCCATGGCCTCTAAGTACGAATGAATGTCGTACCGATGAACACGCTGTACTTGTCCCTCTCGTTGGTCTTCAGGCGTTCCTGCAGCAGTGTTTCGATGCTGGCCCCCAGCGCCTGGTGACATCGCTGCTCCTCGCACAGCGCCTCCTTCTCCTGCCGCAGAGCCGCCACGCTGCGCCTCAGAGCCTCACACAGCTCCACCTGGCAAACAGGGTGAGAAGGGAGATTTTTTTAAGGTTTACGTTACAACTAAATTATTATTATTATGAATAATATAATAATAATAATAATAATGATCGAAAGACTTTAATAAGGAATCCCTTTTTTACCTTCCTGGTGCTGAGGTCTTTCTCTTCCTCATGCAGATCCGTCGCTGTGCTCTGACCAGGATCACAGACGCCATCTTGGATCCTTGGAAGGGAACAACATGATTTAAAACCCTACAGATTTCTGATGGCATTTCCTCACGATCTGTCATTCTTGTGTTTCAGAAGAAGGGTGAGATAACTGGCACAATGAAAACAGAAAAAAGTAAATTACAGTGAGAAACACAAACAAATTCACAGAAAAGGAGCAACAGAATCCAAGCAAAAGGGAGAAAAAGAAATGCTCAAAATGTAATGAAATGACTACGATAGAAATAAGGTATGTTGCTGTTTTATCCTGTCATTTCATGTGTGACACATTGACAGTGTTTTACGCGATTTTCTGTTAAATATTGTTTAGAGTTTGACTACTTTCATACAATGAGTTCACAGGTTCAGTAAGTACATCCTGTTATACCAACTCTGGCAGCTAGATGTCAGCATTGTTTAGCTGTTTAGCCTGCAGGAAGCCATATCTCCACCTGTCACACTGATATGTATCGGGTCAGTATGGAATTGAGAGAAAGAACAAACAGTCATACGCTATTGTAAGACATCTGTCCTCTGTACAGAGACGTCAGCCTTTTTTAATCACGTAGACGTTTAAAGCCTTTAACCAGTGGGCCTTACATTACATTACAGTCAGTCATTTTAGCAGATGCTTTTTTTATCACCACTAAGACCAGTGCTGTTTTTTATGAATCCACAGTTCTACTCTGATTCATTCGTCACTGTGGTTGGACAATCTCTCCCCACTCTTCTGTTGAGAAACATCGATCAGGTTTGTCTGGTCTCTCCTGTCCTGGCCGACAACGCCAACACAGTCTAACCTCAACACTCAGTCAACAGGAAATCATATTTTGACATGATCACTCTAGACTGGTTCCAGACTGCCAGCACTTCAAACACATCAGGTGGTCTGTTCATTGACGACTGTTCCCTTGGTTGGTTAAGAATGGGGACATCACCTTCCTTCAGCCAACGTTAAACTTAACGTATCACCTATGTGATTGGTGGCTAAATATATTTTGCTTTGTCATCTCCATGTCTGATTATATTTTCTGAACCAAAAGCATAATGTGATTGATTTTAGTTTCTGGAAATACACTGAGCGTGACACTCGTCTTCAGACAACAGTAACAAAAGAAAACATTTGTTCCAACTGCATCCAACTCGCACATGGAGGCAACAATACAAAAAGCCGTACTGCAGAATGTGTTTAACCAAGGTCAAGGGTCAAAGCAAAAACAACCGACTGGACGGCACCATATATAACAGAGAAATGATGCCACTAAATTGATGATTGCACGCCTTTGTGACATTCCTTCTCTGAACATCATGTTCACCAACACACCAAAACACATTCAAGATGTTGCTGACTTCAAAGGCCACAATGTGCAGGGACAGCAGAGGTTTGTGATGTTTCTTCTCTGTGTCAGCAGCAGATAGGAGAAGGAGACTGTCAGCAAACACAACAAGAATGACAAATGTTGGTTTACAGGAAGTCTTTTTCCCCAACCATTTATCTTATCCTTCGGTCACTTTCTGCAATTTTGGACACACTCAACATGAAGGTCTTTATCCTTGTGTTACATAAAACACTTCAGGAAATCCAGTTTGATCCTCCTACAGCGTTCAGTCTGTGATGTGCATTCTCTTGTTGTAATTCATCATCTGTAAATCCACTATCCTGCATTCCCCTGTTGTTTTTACTAATTAGGGGAAGGGAATGACTGCAGTAGTAATTTTCAGAGATTTTGAGTGAAGTTGGGAAATTCGTCTTTACGTCCACATCACAAACAAACCAGCACTGTTAAAACCAGGAGCGCAAAGAGTATTTCATTGAAAATAACTCCTTATTTGACGTCAATGTTTGCAGGGAAATAAATTAGAATATATATACAAAAGAGGAGTGTTTTGTTTATTCTAAATCTCAGTATCTTAGCATATTTAAAATATCACTGAAAATGTTTAAGAATATTCAGAGATGAAACATGACAGAATTACCTGTAATCAAATCGGCTACTGCCCCTATGTTGCCATGGTGGTTGTCCAACCAATCTGCTGTTCGGAAAGATCTCCTCCATAAGCTCGACAGTGGATTTACTCCCCCAGGTTTCCAGTAGGGGCACCAGAGAACTGTCCTGCAACAGCTGGATACAATGAAAAAGGAAGAATCAAAGTATGTTTGACAACAAAGTAGGAGTCAGATCTGGTTACAACAACAAAGGTATAGTTGAAATTGGGTTAAACGACAAAGGTAGAGTCAGAACCAGGTACAACGACAAAGGTACTGTTAAGACTATGTACAATGACAAAGGTAGTGTTAAGACTAGCTACAATGACAAAGTCAGAGTCAATACTAGGTACAGTGACAAAGCTGGGAGTCAGGACTAGGTACAACGACAAAGGTACTGTTAAGACTATGTACAACGACAAAGGTAGAGTCAAGACTAGGTACAGTGACAAATGTAGAATCAGAACTAGGTACAACAAAATTAAAGTAAGAACAAAGTGTGATGAAAGAGTCAGAATTAGAACAAAAAAGTCAGAAGTTGGAACAACAACTAAGACATAGTGTAAACTCTGTACAAAGACAAAAATAGTCTCAGAAGAAAGTACCAAGGCAAAGGAAGCGTAATAACTAAGTACACTGATCAAGGTAGAGTCAGAACTAGGCACAACGACAAATGTATAATTAGAACTAGGTACAGCAACCTTTTTTCAAATCAACGACTGACACAAGGTACCCACCAGCTGCCGAGCCAGTGCCTCCACTCGTAACTCTTCAGATGTCTTTTCCCTCTTGGGTAGGGGCTGGTACTCAAGACCTAGGGTGTCATCGGTTGTGGTAGATGTGGTGATGGAGGCTATGGTGGAGAGCTGTGACTTCATGGAAGGAAGGAGGACGGGCACAGGCGAAGGATAGACATAGGAGGAAGGAGACATTGGAGGGGAGTGGAGGGATGACTTCCTGTTGGGAATGGTGGAGGTGTTTGACACCTCCATGCTAGGACTGAATACAGCAAAGAGAACAGAGAAATGGAAAAAGAGAAAGAGCCAGTAGAAAAATCAGAAAAGGTCCAAAATGTTAATATTCCAATTTTAAAAATGAAAAAGGTGTAAAACAAACCTTCCCACAGCAGCTTCCTGCTCCATTTCAAGGGGAGGAGGAGGAGGAGAAGGAGGAGGAGGGAAGTCCTCCAATATGTTTGTCTCTTTGATTGGCGGAGGAGTTGACGGAGGATTATGGAGGAAGACCTCGTCATAGTCCTCCTGCGATATTCCTATGGAGGATTCTAGCGGGTGCTGCTGGTCAATGAAACTCGACTCGGAGATCCGAAGAGACGACAGGTGCTGGGGAATGGATGGATGGGAGGATGGGGGAGGAGACGATGCGATGCACCTGCTGTCCTTCCTGTTTGGTGGGGATGCACGCTGAAAATGTGCTGGCGTCGCTGGCAAAACCTGTTTGTCGTTTTCCGCAGAATACCCTCCTATCATCTCTAAACTGAAGGCTCTCCCTCGATACGTGTCCTTTGCGGTGTCTTCTAATATGCTGCCGTCACTCAAACTGTGCCTTGTCTGTCTGTCCGTCACCAGAGTTTCATTGTGGCCAGAAATGTTGGTGTTATCACCATCACCTGTGCCGGGTTGCGGGGTGCCTGGGAAGGTGATGGCATCCAGGTTGGCCTGGCTCAGCCTCTCGGTAGCATGCCACCCAGCGCTGCCTCTGTCCTGGGTCCCAGGTGGGGAGAGGGGGCAGGGCAGGCCAACAGAGGCCGCCAAGGTGGAAGTGCTGTGGGTCCGCGGGCGCTCGCTGTTCCTCTGTCTCTCCCTACGAGTGACAGGTGTGTGGGAGGGGCCTGGGTCTAGGATCAGAACACAAGGAAGGGTCAGAGAGGAGTTAAAGAACCAAAGTAGGATTCCATGGGTCCCAGAAAATGTAAACTAGGCCAAGTGACCTGAGACCAATCCCAGATAATGACAGTGTGATGCCACACTAAACATCAAACTGTATTTCCTTTGTGTATGGCCTAATGCGATTATTAAACAATTGTGTTGTAAATCTACTCCGTTTTTCACTTTGGAACTGTTAAATAATACCAAACATGACGATAGATCAAATGAAAAAGCCAGATAAGGAAAACAATCTTGGCTGAAGTGAACTTGTCTGCACATGCTTTCCTTTCAACGAAGAGGAGACCACAACAATTTTTAAATTTTGCTCACCTTGTGAAGGTCCTGCAGGCTGGACAGTGTTCCGACTGTTTTGGGAGTATTGAGGACAGAAGAGGCCACCTGATAGCTCGACTTCTGCAGGTCTGAGAGACAGACAGTTGAAGAAAGGATTAAAGAAAGGAAGGAACACGTCAGACAGACATAAATTATGGCTGTGTCAGAGAGAAGTACATTTAATTGAATTAGTACTACTTAAATTATGACAAGTTTAGACAAAAACAGCAACATCTAACAATATTATAAAATCCAAAACAATAATGCCACAGAGAAAGATATTTGAGGAAAACTAATAATGCCAATAGTATTGCTTTTAATCTTTGTGGATTATGGAGGAGGAGGCAATTCTGGGAAAAGATGATCCTTTAGATTTTGACACAAGCAAGACTTTACACTGCCTGCATAGAAGGGGGAAAAAATTAAAAACTGATGGATGATTTGGACAATTAACAACAAAAATATAAAGTACATGTAATTTGTAGTTAAAACACTGTTTAATGGGCCTTCCTATATGTTCTGTTTTAGATTGTACATATACTTGTTTTACAGTCTCAGATCGTTCAGAGATCTAATGATTGTTACAGGTCAGTGCTCAGGAACCAGTAGTGGTGCATTCATGTTCCTGGTTATAATTTCAGACACCAGAGAGATCTGCGTAAACATGCACACAGAATTCCTGAAGCGACATCTGACCTTCACGTTTTGAGAGCAAACAGTTTTGAGAGTTTTAAGTGAATAAATCCCCGTGGACCGGAGTCGGTATTTTGTTTGTTTTTCTGTCTCTGTGCCAGTGACTTCTCTCTGCTTCCTGAAATTCCTCAGTTCCTCCCTTCTTTGACTCCTCTTCTTCGCTCCTCAACCTCACTCCTGCCTTTCTCTCCTCCTCCCACTGAACTCTTTCATTCCTCTGAACGCCTTCTCTCCTTCTTTCTTTAATAACATCTGAACCCCTGACTCCTTTGCCTCCTTTCTTACCTTCCTCCCTCCTCTCCTCTTCCTATCTTCTTCCCTTTCATACCAAAAGATCCCTCCTTCCTCCTTCTGTTGCAAAGCTGCCTGGAATTCAATTTCAGACTTTCTCTCTCTTCACCCAATCCTTACGTTCCCTCTGTGATCCCATATTTTCGTTCCCTCTCCCATGTATTTCTCCTTCTTTAACTTCCTGCCTCATTTCCTTTCCTCTTCTCCTCCCTTCCTCTCCCTACACTCCCTCTTCTCACCTCCTCCCCTTCCATATTTTTACCATTTCAGTCCGTCTTCTTCCCTACTCCACCTCCCGTCATCTATCCTTCCCTAAATTCCATCCTTCCCCTTCTCTTTTACCTCCTCCTGTTCATCCCCTTCTTTCCATCTCATTCCTTGTTCTCTTTCCTTACTTACTTACTCTCTCTCTCTCTGAGGTGCCAGCAGCAGGGCACATGGACTCATAAGGCCACATTTGGTTTAAAAATGGCAAAGAGCCTAAAGCGCACACACACACTGGCTGACTGTTAGCAGCCTATTATGGAAGAAAGCTATAAAAGATATCGGCATGTGAATTCCCATGATCCCTCAGTTCTTCAGCGGGAAACAAACATTTTGCTCTAATTATTTGCATTTCATTTTCTAAAACAAAATGACACAAATGAATCATCAGACTGACATCTGTGAGAAACGATGATGCCCCTCTACTGAAGAGGCGTTTAGTCTTGGTGTCTTTTGTTCTAACATCTACCTACATTTTCCACTTGTCATATATATGCAAATTTAATTTTTCTGACCTGAACTGAGAAACATGATAAATGAGACGACTGATGGGACAGATGAATGACTGTGAGAACCCACGGGGGAAAAAACCTGCTCTGGGATTTGAACCGACAGCCGTTTTCGACACACGATCGCGTGAGTCTGAACGGAGATGTGACTTACCTGTCCTCGGCCAGAGAGCTGCGACCAGGGTCAGAGACGCCGTCACCTGGAGAGAAGTCCTGCAACACACGCACAGACAAAGTTTAGTCTTTTAGGAAGAGAGCTCCACTGCTGCTGTTTATCCTCATGCTGTATCAGTTTGAGCTAATCTTTTTTCATCGTGACCAGGCGGAAACCTCCGGTTCGGGAACATGAAGCCAATGTGGAAGTGCCTTAAACTTGCATTCTCTCTAATTGCCAGCAGGGGGCGAGTCCTCCCGTTGCAAAAAGAAGTCTGATCGTATAGAAGTCTATGAGAAAATGACTCTACTTCTCTCTTGATTTATTACCTCAGTAAACATTGTAAACATGAGTTTATGGTCTCAATATCTAGTTTCATGTCTTCTTCAATACAGCATGATGTTCATTTAGTAAACTATGGTCCATTTAGAGTCAAACAGACCATAAAGCAGAGTATGCTTTAGGCCGTGTCTAACTTCTGATTGACAAGTCGCTACAGCTACCAGAGACATATATGTCATTCCTCCGCACTCCAAATATGATCATTTCCATTCACTGGTTGCAAAAAAACAAGATGGCGACGGTCAAAATGCCGAACTTGAGGCTTCAAAAACAGCAGATCACAAATCAATGGGTGACGTCCTGATGACTACGTCCTCTTCTTATATACAGTCTATGATTGTCACACAATCCTACAAGTTCAGTCTGCTTTTTTAAGCATTTTACACAACTATATTTGTCTCAATGAGATGAAGATGAATTTGACTTTTTATCACGTCAATTTGAATACTTCAACAACTTTAACGCACATTGATATTGATATAACAATGTGAAAGTTATCATGAAAGTAATTTAGTGCACCTGAGACACACAAATCAACAATATCATCTGTCCTTATTTACTCCCCTGTAAGCTATAATAATATAGGTATCATGGTAATGCTTTATTAATGGGAGGGATCATTTCTAAATAATGACAACAAATATGCTTTGGAGTTACGGGCTGGAACTACTAGTTGGCCGGGCGTGGTAACTTCCTGGAGTCTATGCTAGAAAGTCAGCTCAATTGGCTTCAACCAAAACGCATGTAGAGTGGTATCAAGAATGTCAAAGTTGTATAAAGTTGTGAGCAGTTGACTTCCAGGGGAATTTCCTTTGCGGAATTGCTTGAATCTTACCAACAGGTAAAGCTAAGAGACATCCATGTAAACATGGGATATTCTTTGGAGAATTTTGTCATTATTTGAAAGTAACAGTAGAGATACAGACAGGAAATCCAGTGAGAAGTAGGGGGATGACATGGACTGAAGGTCCCTGGCTGGAGTCGAACAGGGGATGTTGCAGTCATATGGGATGAGTCTTAAGCAACAGGGAATCAGATGCCCCAATATTCATTTATTGTTGGAAACTTTACTATCTATAATTTGTAGAATTGCACAGTAACAAGTACCAGTTTACATTGTTATTAACGTTATCTCCGTGGGGAGATCATGTGTTCAGCCGATTGTGTGTTTGTGTGTGTGTGCATGTATCTGTCTGTCCGCAGCTAATCTCGCGTACTACTAGAACGATCAGCCTATGTTTTGTGCTCATTGATGACTGTATGCTCATGGACCTCTCGTGGTTGCAGCAGATCTAGACCGCGGCATCATCACAAGTCTGTCCAGAGACCTTATGACAAGTCTGCTGCTTCACCACTGAAGTGAGTTAGAGCTGTTTCAGCTCTCCACCACAAACTTGAACATGTCTGTGTAATCAAATATAGTTCAACATTTCCTATTAAAAAGGAGCTCAACTTCACACTGCCCCTCTCCATCACAGAATACACACAGTATTACATCAACCAAGTGTGCTAAAATACAGCAAAAGAGCTTTTTTTTATTTAACGCAGTTCAAATTCTCTTCCAGCTGCTCAACTTAAAAATATCAGTGCTGTGAAAGCAGGACTGTAGGACCCTGTGGTGAAATCTACTGTTTAAAGTAAAAGGACAGACTGTCTGTTTGTCTGACTGAAGTGTAATGATGTTTATGTGACACCGCCTGCTCTGATCACTGACGAAGATAAAAGGCAAATTCATCCTTTACCGCACTCCTTTAAGGACTGTGTAGATGTATGTATGTGTGTGTTATCTTTGCTATCGTGCGCATCGGACGGCGCCCAGCAGCCGTCCCCGGCTCCCTGGCTCCTCACAGGAAACTTTGAGGACTCTGGGTATTTCCTGTGTGACTCAGGGCCAAATGTCCCTCAACGGCAAAATGCCATCAAACTAAATGGTAATCAGAGAGAACCGTGAATGTCTGTTTAAAATGTTATGTCTAATATAATTTCTTATATTGGCGTTATGAGAAGTAAAGAGGATTTTTTTTTTGTCTTTGATTGTCTATCTTTTAAAATAATATACATAAATACACATATATACAATATATATATCCTGCAGGTTAAAGTCACCATCTTGGGTTATTACATGTTTTTACCCAGGTTCTAGGTTACTGTCTGCACAAACTACCAGGTACCACCTAAAACAGGATCTATCACCAACCACTCACATTAACCAACTCATTTCAAATTCTGATCATTTAATTTCTTGATTATATAATCTATTTTGTTCCTCCTCACTTGAAACAACAACAATAACACTAAATAAAGCAAACTGTGTCATAAAATCCAAAGTAAATTCAGTCATTTTGGGCTACAACAATATCAACTAAAATGTGAGCTCCTTGCAGGAGTGCAGTGTTACCTGTCTCAGTCTCTCTACTGTGGGGGAGGAGCGGGAGCGGTGGTGTTGAGGAGTCATTTGTCTCTCCTCGGATCTCTCCAGGAGATCCTCAGTGGAAGCCGACATCCGAGCTGACCCGGCCCTCTGCAGAGCCCCGTTGAGCTGCATGGACAGTTCCAGGTTGAGTTGAGGCCCCGAGGCCAGCTGTGGGGGGTCCAGGCCCAGGTCTCTGCTGGAGGACTGACTCTCTCTGCTGAGCCCTGCTTCACGGTTGATATCCTGGAGGATCTGGGCCTTGGGCTCAGGAGATGGATCACTGGAAGTAGAAACAAAGAAGGAGTTATTGAATTGTAATAATGTAATAATTCAACTTCATATTCAAATATAAATGTAAGGTATTAAAATTCATCTTGAGGGGAGCGTGAATTTCTGTGCCAAATTTCATGACAATCCATCGAATAGTCACTAAATGTTGAGTTTTGTCACTGGATAACTGCAAACTTTAAACTGCTGGTGACCAAAGTCACCATTAGGTTTCATCCTCTGGGGACAATGAATGCTTGTACAAATTTGAATGGAAAACCGTATATATATTTATATATATATATATATATATATATTGGTCTGGACAAAAGTGCTGGAGCGACCGACTGACCGACCAAAATTGCCATCCCTAAAGCCACACAAAAATCTGTGTTAGATGCAGCTGTAGTCTGGTTTTGGTTACCCAGGAGGCTGGTGAGCCGGAGCCCTTGGAATGGTCACCGTGCCCGGGTAGAAGAGGTTGGACTGGAGGCTCCGCTGGTCAGCTCCAGGAGGGATGGTGGAGCAGAGACGCCTCTCGCCGAAGGAGAAGATTCGATCTGCACCGGAGTCCTGGAGGGAGAGCAGGCTGGAGCTGGAGGATAGGCTGAGTGTGTCTGAGTGACAGGAGGAGACTGGAGAGAAGAGAAGGAAAGAGAGGAGGAAGGAGAGGAGGGGAAAGAGAGAGAGAGAGACGAAGGGGATAAACAGAAAAAGGAAGAGAGAAGAAAAAGGGAAGGACGTGATTAATCTATTTGTTTCACTTTGTTTATCACTTAAATATTCTATTTACCTATATACCCATTTATCCATCATCCACCCATCAAATGGTCACCCCTCATCCCTTTTCTTCCCTTCTTCCACCCACCTGTATAGTTGCTGTCTTCAGGCTGTAGATATGCACTACGGGGCCTCAGTCCACTCCTCTGCCCTCCCTTGTCTCTTTTCACGCTTCTCTTCCTCTCCATGTATTCAGCCAGAGCATCGTGCTGAAGCTGACGCAAGTCGGGCCTTGACGTAGCGCTTTGCAGAGCCCCGCCCCCGAAACGACTTGCCACAAGCTCAAACATCTTCCGCCGGTCTGCCACGCTGGTCTCTGATAGACAGGGAGATCAGGGTCAAAGCCCTTGGTCAGCCACACACAGAATCTAGATGTTTGTGATGTGCCATAACAGATACACAACGGTCACAATATTGTCATTCCACAACGTGGAAGAGGAAAAAGCTTCCAGTCAAATATATTAAAAAAGCATTGGTTCTCCTTAAGGCTGGGATGTCTTTGCAACAGTTCCAATACCGTTGCCAGAAGTAAACCCCAGATTCTGTACCAATACCAAAACAATAGTTTTTCTACGATACAATTTTTTTGTTTAAAATATAAGCTTCTCAAATGCATCAATGTTTAATGTTGTCAACATAAAGCAGTCATACAAGAACTTTTCATAAATCAAACACTGGCAAACGTTTTGATTTGAATCCGAAAGTATTAGATCAAAGTATGGGGAGACTAAAGAAATATTTCTTAGAATGTGATGCTAGCTTTGCTACTTAACATTTTTTAATACTTCAGCCTTATTCTCCCAAAACTTAGCTGTAGTGAGCATAAAGCTACCGCTACAGCTAGCCTCCTGCTGATATCAACTCTGGAGCAAAGTCAGCCTTTCAAAGTAATTTCTGTAAACAAATTAAATGATTCACTGTCATCCAGTAATTACTTCTTAACCAGCAAAGTTTGCTCCGCCTGTATTTTGCTAAATTCATTCTATAAGGCATATTCTGCTCAACATTAGCAGCAAGCTAGCTGGAGCTAGCTGGAGTCCTTTTCGTGCTAAAAACCTGTCAAACTCGTTAAGATGTTTTTTTGGGACTAGCTGCCCCTTTTCACTTTCATTTAGATAAACTTAATTGAAATGGGGTAATGCCATTAAACTAAGATGTGAAAAAAGACAACAGCTAGCTAAGTGGCTAACAGAACAACAGATGTATCTCTATGCCTGTCTACACATTTATCCCACATAATTAATGAGCTGGGTTTTAGGTTAGTTAGCCATTTTCCACAAAATAATTCAGTTATTATTACATGTCAAGACTAATTCGATTGTTTTATTTAGTTGTGTCTTCGAAATGTGCCATACGACCCAAGTACTTTTGATTAGTGCTTCATTGTGACATTTGCAATATTGACTTGCAAGGTGAGGTGTCTCGGGCTACAGGTGTTTTTAGAACTGCATTGTCTAAAGTGTATTTACCTCCTCCACGCCTGAAGAGGGCAGCAGTCTCTGCATCTGTAACTCCGACCTCGTTCATGTTCTCTGGCTCTGAGTATGATCGCTTCTTCTGGTCACCTGTCAGACGCTTGCGGCCACAGATCCGCATCAGAGCAGCAGGTCCAACTGGTGGGACAGTAGGGAGGGCTGGTGGGCTCGGGCCTCGAGTCTCCGGGCTGACCACGTGACGCTCCTTCGGGGTGTGAAGGGAAGTGACCGGTGGCAGCGACTGTGGCGTGATAACAATGCCCTGTGGTTTGGGCATGGTTTTTGGGCCTTTTTTCTCCAAGGACTGGTGCTTGGCCGTGACAGGTGGAGTATGGGGGCTGCTGGAGGAGGAGAAGGGAGAAGGAGCTGCAGGAGGCGAAGAGCTGATTGAGGAGCTGACATCTCTCCTTCTGAAGGAGGTGGACCGCAGGACCTTGGACTGGGCGTCTTTCAAAGAGTCCCTGTAAGATCTGGTAAGAGACAAGTTTCCATTGTCAAGGTGGCTCAGAGAAACTCAAGACACTGAGGCCATGTCCACATTATTATGTTTCCATTTTAAAAAGCATATCTTTTTCTATGTTTACACTGAGCATTCACACTAGGCCGGAGTTTTAGAGCACCGAAAACGGATACGTTTACAAATGCTCCCGAAGACGGATAAGTTTGAAAACTCCAGGTTTACCACTTAGTGTGGACGGCATAACCACATAAGCTTTAAAACGATGACGTAGACACCCGCATTCGCTACTTGATTGGGTCTTAGCAGTCACGTCCTTTCCTGATTCGTCATGCCCCTATCACGTGACCCATTTCCAAAGGAAAAAAAAAACAGCTGTGAATAACGATCGACTACCAGTGGTTAATTCAACATTCTTATTAATGCTTATTTTGTTCTGCACAACTATTGTGAAGTCTACACAGAAATTGTAAACAAACAAAAGCATAAATGCTCTCCAGTATGACAGGGACTTCAGCCACCAGCAGAGCTACGAGTGTGACAGACAACAACGAAACCGAGGAAACGAGTGAGAGACGTGTTCACCAAATTTATTGACCCATAATCTAGTAAACTTTGATTTGAAAGTGTTCAATTTTAAGCTAATTTGATGTGTGTGTGAGAGAAAGATCTGCAGCGCTGTAACTAAGTTTGAAAAATAAAACTTCTGAAACTTTCCACTAAATTTGTCTTAATAGAAGATTATAGAGGAAGATCTTAAGTATCAAGCACTACCTTCCATTATTAAAGACTACGATAATACTCTGTCGTATTTTCTGTAACGAAGCAACCAATCTACTTCCTGTTTATACCGGCACCCGCATGCCCAGTGTACGTGAATAATCATGTGAGATTCGTTTTCAGGCTTGCTAGTATAGACGGAAATCATTTCGTAAACAATGCTGAAATGCCCGTGTGGATGGAGATCGTTTTTGTTTTAAAACCCTGGTTTTAAACGGAAACGTATTAGCGTGGATGTAGCCTAACCTGTTGAAAGACTCTGATCTGTTGGAGGACTCTGACCTGTTGAAGGACGCTGATCTGTCGAAGGACTCTGACCTGTTGAAAGACTCTGACTTGTTGGAGGAATCTGACCTGTTAGAAGACTCTGACCTGCTAAATAACTTCTACCTGCTGAAGAACTGTGACCTCGTACTTTGACCTGTGGAAGGAATGTGACCTGGAGGACTCTGACTTGTTTGAAGACTATGACCTGTGAAAGGGCCCTGAGCTAGGGGAGTCTGGGCTGTTTAAACACTCCGACCTGTGGAAGTACTCTGGCCTGCTGAAGAACTCTGACCTGCTTAAGAACTGTGACTTGTTGGACCTGGAGGACTCTGACCGGTTTGAAGACTCTGACCTGTGGAGGGACTCTAACCTGTTGGAGGACTCTGACCTGTTGGAGGACTCTGACATGCTGAAGTACTCTGACCTGGAGTAATCGGACCTGTTTGGAGACCTATGCAAGGATTCCGACCTGTTGGTGGACTGTGAACTGCAGAACTCGGACCTATTTGATGACTCGGACCGGTTAAAAGAATCTGAACTGTTGATGACTCTGACCTGTGGAAGCGCCCTGACCTGTTGGAGGACACTGACCTGTTTGAGGACGCTGACTTGCAGAAGGACTCTGATCTATGGGAAGACTGACCTGTTGAGGGACGTGTCCTGCATGGAGCCCAACATCTCTTGGATGTCCTGTATCTGGGGAAAGTCTTTCCTGCTTTCACCCTCCCTGGATTCGTCCAGATTGAAAGTGCTACGGCTCCTCTGGAGAGCAGAACTGGGATCTGCTGGGGTCCTAAACACCACACAGAAATTTAACTGCCTTTTGACAAGGAGTTTAGTCCATTTAACGTGACCCAATCTGACTATAGCTAATCTGAAAGGACTTCAGACACAAAATGTTGCAAAACACAAGATAAATATTTAATGCATGTTTTTGCTGCTGTAAAACAATTTGGAACACAAAAAAGGTGGATACAAATAAAATGTGGCCATATAGGCTGGAATTGTGATAAATACAGTTTGTATCATACCAACATTTCTGGAGAAATTAAAGTTTTATCAATTACCCACAACCCTTCTACCTGTATTTCATGTGTTCCCGGCTGCCTCCTCTGTAGCTCATGGTCCTGTGGGCTTTGGTCCTGCTATTGCTTCTCTCCAGCATGTTTCTGAGGTCATCTGCTCCACAGGGGGAGCTGCGGCCTTTCTCAGTCATCTGATTCAAAATCAGAAAAAATAAAGCAGTGAAGTGGGATCACAGCCAACAAGGCTCAAGACTTTCAAATTTAGGAGGCAAATTTGGGATGAGGCAAATCTTGTGTAGTGAGTCAAAAAATCCATACAAACTCATTTTCCTTTTGAGTGGTGCTTATTACGCACAATACAAATTACTGACAGTTTATTATTTGCTTCTCAGTTGAATCATCAAAAAAACATGGTGACCCCAAACAAAGTTTGGTTTCAGTTACCCTCACTTTGTCTGGTGCCTTGATAGTGGTGTGACTGCGCTGCTTTCCGGTGCGCTCCCGACGCTCGAAACAACTGACCTTCTCCAGGACAGAGAGGGTGCGGACAGGTCCCTGGCTGCCATCGCCAAAGCTGCTGTTGCCATGGCTACTGGTAGAGATGACACTGTTGGGGCTGGCGCATCGCTGAACCTCAGCAAGGGCGATCTCCAGACGGGTCAGTGGGTGTTCTCTGTCTTTGTCCCGCTCTCTGTGGTCCCAGTGCTGGTACTGCAGAGCTGCTGAGTCACTGAGGTGACGGGGATGAGGCTGGGAGGCGGAGGAATACAGAGCCTGAGGCTGAGGGTGAACGGGTAACTGGGTAGGAGGTACTTGTCCCTGGGGGAGCCTGGAGGATGCCATTGGTTCTGAATGAATGCTGGTCTGGTCCATTGATCTGAATGGAGGGGGAGAAAATGGAGGACATTTAGTAAGTAAAGGAGGGAAAATCATCAATGCCATCAACAGACTTCTCCTGATACATACAATACATCCAACCATTGTATGAACTAACCAATCATTCACTGTCAGGAAGCTGCTATTACATATGGAAATTTATTTTCTGCCCAAATAGAGTTTGTGTTGTTGTGGATGTGTCTGTTTGCTGGGCCCAGCAGCGTGATGCTAATGTCAAACTAACCTCCTCTACAGTTGTTTCAAATTAATTGGCTATCATCTAATAGCGAAAGGTTGACCAGTCTCAGCATTTTCTGGTGAAAGGCGTTGGGTTCGGCACTGTGTTTGTCTCGAGCAGCAGCAGATGGGGCTTCTGGAATTCTACGGGAGTGTCTCTTGTTTTCTGCAAAGCTAGTGTCATAAAATAACCGAGTCTATGTTGTCTTGGACACGGGCCAGTAGCATTACGTAAAGGCAAAAAAAAAAAAAATGTGCTTGATTGGCTGTCACAATTGTTGTTTTCTGCACAAAAAATGCAAATCTGGATATTTTTGTGGAGTTGCTAAATGCATCCTAACGGAGGTTCACAAAGTGCAAGGACAGAATCAGAAATATCAAACCGCCGTGAATTCATAATCAGAAATGATTTCAACATGTCACACAACAGTCATCCCTGTGTACCTGCTCCTGTCTCCCCTGGACTGGACAGGTGTGCAGGGCTCCCTCCGCTCTTGTGAGGATGGAGGCCTGATTTCAGCAGTCGATTGGATGTGGGCAATATGGAAATCCTGGTTCTGTTCCTGTAACACTTGGCTGTGGGTTCTCTGGCTTGTCTGAACATGAGACCCTTGGAAGCTCTGACTGTGAGGTCCCTCGTGGTTTGGAGGCCTTTGGGCCCCTGTCTGGTCCTCCGATTCCTCTCCAGCAGTTTTCATGTGGTGTGTGTCGAGTTCAGAGTTACACTTTTCCTGTTGAGGCCTGATAAAAGCAAAAGACTGAGTTAGCACTAAGGGCCAATATCAACTATTTTTTACAGCTCCGTGACAAGTTAATGCTAGAACCAGAGACTTTGAACTTTGAACTTTGAACTTTGTATGATTATCAGCTGTCATGTTGTAGGACACAGACTGAGACGCCCCACAACATCTAGACACCTCAAAGTTGTTAATTTAGCCATATTTTGTCAAAAATATAACTTTTAAGAACATACTTTAACTAACTTCAGCTCCGATTATTTTTTAAAGCCACTGGTCGAGAGTGATGACACTGCAAATGCAGCTGTTGGTTGAAATATCAGCATAAAAGTCACCTGTCTGCCTCGTGTGCTTGAGGCCTGAGCTGTGTCGAGGCAGATGCTGAAGAAGAGGAATCGGGGTATAGTGAAGAAGGAATGTTGTTTTGGTATCCGTTTTCTGTAGCTGACATCCTTCCATCTCTCCGCCTCTCTGTCGCCCCTTCCTCTCTCCCTCCGTCGCCCTGCAGCAGCTGCTGCTGCTGTCGGCCGCTCTCCTTGGCCAGGGCTGGGTAGACTACCGAGGAGTCCGGCCCATGGCTGGCGCTGGGCATCTGTGCGTAGTGGGGCTCAAGCTGGGGGACGGGGTACACGCCCGTGGGCAGAATGAGCCGGCCAGACTGAGGGATGGGGCCGGCAAGTCTGGAGGAGGGCCCAGTAGGGGAAGGGGGCTGGGGAAAGCCTCCACCCTGGCGGGGCTTTGTGGTGGGGCTGCTCTCTGGACTCTTCTCTATCACTGTGTGGAGCTGGCCCTCGGTGCCGTACGAGCCTTTAGCTGAAAGCACAGTCATGATGCAATGATGGCAGTGCTTGTAAGTAATGCAGAGGATGATGATAGCATATGTAATATTATAGACATATTGCCTGTTGTATATTGAGGCATTGTTTTCTATAAATGTACTGGTCCTCTATCGGTAAACTTTGGGCTCTTTAGGAACCTACAGTTACAACTTTAATTGGTAGAGCAGAATAAAATGGTATATTTGGATCCTTAAAATGTAAATTTAATGTACCTGCACTTGAGGCCACAGGGCCACTGGAGTGATGCCAGGAACCTTTCTGCAGAGACCTGAGAAAAAAGAACATTAGATTAAATAACTTGTGATTAGTGTAAATTTCATTTTGCACAAATACATCATATTTTACAAGAACAATTCAAACTTCATTGTTTTAATCCAAACAGTTTTGAATCTCATGGTATCTTACTATACCGTACGGTTTCATATCATATTGTGTTGTATTGTCGTGGATGATTTTGTAATATAGCACATTGTATTGTATCATTTAGAATTGAATCGTATTTATTTTCATCACAGCATTTAGTAGCACATTGTATCTATCATATCATTTCATAGCACAGTGCACTGTAGCATAGCATCTTATTGTTGCGTAACGTATCGTATCGTAGAGTATATTGTATTGCATCAAGGCATATTGTGCCATATCGTATCATATCATCTTGTATTGTTACTGTATTGTAACATAACATAAAACATTCCTTCGTAGCGTAGTATATTGTGTTGTGTTATATTTTATCATAGCATACTGTACCGCAGGGATTCCCAGCGCGAGCTGCCTCCAGGGGGTGCGCGAAAGGAAAAATGTAATGGTGGTCTAATGGTGTAATAATTGATATTAAATATAATTTTAAAAACATTAAGTGGGATTTTTCACAAAAACATGAATTATAAAAATTCCCTTTGTAACATTTAAATTTAAAAACTTACAATTTAATAAATAAATGCACTTCTGCTCCTGCCGCCAGACTGTCTTTTACGTACACACACGTACACGTAGCCTAGCTTGTGCAGCTAACGTCAGCTAACAGCTAACTTCATTCATTCAGCAACGTTCATGCAAATATGCAAAATTGGCTGAAATCTGGGAAACTGCCAGGTGGGACATCTGAAGCTATCAGTCATAAAAGAGGAGAGGGACAGAGAGAGAGAGGGGAATTGGAGGCGAGAGAAACGGAGAGGTGCGTTGGGGAGAGACCTGGAGAATAAATCGAGCAGGAGTCAGAGAAAGATGAGACGGAGGAGACCGAAAAGGAGGAAGGGATAGCACAGACAAATCGGGAGCACATAGGCCCATCGCGGAGTCAAGGTGAAAAAAGAGGAAACGAGAGTGAGCATCAGACTGGGAAAAAAAAGAGGAAATATGATGAAAAGTATCTGGGTCCGGGCTTCACTTGGATTGCCAATGCAGATTGCCCAAAGTCACAGTGCGTGGTGTGCAGTGAGGTTCTGGCTAACAGCTGTCTGAAGCCCTCTTATTTACTGTCGCCACCTGAACACCAAGCATGCCAGTGCAAGTCAAAAGCCCCTTACATTTTTTATATCGAAATCGGAGGAGTTACAAAACAGCCAAAAACAACTGCAGTCTCATTCATGGTCTACAAAACACGCACTGCGGGCTTCATATCTGGTCAGTTACAGAATAGCAAGAAAGGGGCTACCGCACACAATCGCCGAAGACGTGTGCTCGCCAGCTGCCAAAGAGATGGTGGAATGTATGATTGGAGAGAGTAACTTTGTTGTGATTCGATTCAGATTAATGTAACCGCTATGTATGGTTAATTGTAAATTAAATGTGATGCAATCTGCCTCTGAGCCTGTGCGTGTGTCCTCGCCATCCGTATTGCTCTTTAAAAGTGACGCCTTGTGTAACTGAAATGTATTGAAACTTTGTTGCAGTGTTTCAGGGCGTTTTCACACCCGTAGTTCGTTTGCTTTGTTCCGATTCAGGGATTAGTATGATACAATGTTGCAGTTGCCCCTTTGTTCGGTTTGTGTTCACACTGCAACATTTAACAGCAGACTAAATCTTGTAAACAAACGCTACCGCGAGCAAACTGTTCTCTCATTGGTCCGATTGTTATGCGGCTATAAATAGGCTCTGTTGATTTTTTTTTTTTTAAGGTGTGGGGGATTGGAGGTGCGTGAACCCGGTTGGGATGCAGAAGGGGGTGCATGGCCTAAAAAGTTTGGGAACCGCTGCTATACCGCATTGTATGATATTGTATTGCATTGCAGTGTGGTCCATCCTCTGCTCCACCATGTATTTTGTATTTTATAACATATAACAGAGGTTGTTATTATTAGTCTTTTACATACAATATGTTTCTATCACTCTCCTTGCTAGAACTTGACCAACTGGTCACTTTAACAAAGATATAAGAACCGCTAATTCTTAGATTTTAAGAATAACACCTGCCATACACCTCATTCATAAACAAGAGAACAAAATAATAAGTAATGAGGTGTTCGATTTTTCTGCTAAGTTAAGTAGTTCATACTGAGAACCCCATTTTCATGTTGGCTTGTCTTCAAGTTTAAAATAAGGTGAAACACACTTTGGAACACAAGCTCGACTGAAAGCAGACTTTGTGCTCTTGATGGTAACAAATCGTCATCACTATTCTCATTGTCCAATCAGGGTCTATTCTTGGATGAGAATCAAGATTCACCCTGATTTGACAGACCCTACTCACCGTAGTGAGCGGGCATGCTCCAGACTGGACCAGGAGTTGGGTCTCTCGTGGTTCCTGATGGCTGCGTAGCTGTCGCTGCGCCTCGGTGGAGCCGGCACCCCCTTCAGGCTCTCGTAGGAGCTGCGGCTGGTTGATGGGCCCCACATTGGACCCACACTGTGTCTGTTTGTGCCGCTGCTGCTGCTGCCGCTACTGCTGCTGCTGCCACTGCAGCTGCCACGGTAACAGACCCCACCCACTGAACCTGGAGCCAATAGTACAAAAGAAAAACAATGACGTCATCACATTATAGTTACATTACCCGAAAGCCATTCCTAAAGCAGAACCGTCACCTTGCAGATCGCGGTTTAGCCCTGGCCTCGCCCCTCCTCCACCTCTGGAATCGCTGTTGCGTAGCGAAGCAGTGGAGGCGGAGCTCAGCTCGTGATCTTGAGATAGGCCCTGCTGGGCTTCGTAAACCGTCCGGACGTAACATACGTCAGCCTGCTGCATCTCACCACTTTCTCCTTCTCTCTGAGGGACGGTCTCCAGCGAGTAGGAGCGCTCCGAGCTAAAGGAGGGGTTGGAGGCAAGGTACTCTGGGATACTGGAGCTAGTGGAGAACGAGGAGTAGGCAGAGTCTCGTTTGCTGTGGAGGTGGTCGATGCTGTTGGAGGACCTGGAACATGACAAGAGATTTCTTATATCATGACATTGATACTTTTAAAGCTGTGAAGGACACACCCTGGTAAATGGCTAGTCAAACTAACTATGGTGCGTTCAAAAGGACAACACATATGTCGCATTTCCACTGCATGGTTCGTTGGCTCGACTCAACTGAAAAACACAGTTTTGTGGGCTGCAATTTTTAAAAATATGGGTCAACTGATTTAAAAAAATTGCGGTCTCAAAAAGTGCGGTCTCAGTTGACGGTAGCTTGGCTATTCAAAAATGGTGGGTTTGTGCAGTTCTCTTTAAACATGGATTCCCTTATCGCGCTAATGACGATTCTGTCTGACCAATCAGTGGTCTGCAGTGTTTTAACTCCACCTTCTAGTATTGTCTGAGCTCGCTTGGAACCTTGACCGACTGAGAAGTTGTGGATAGTGCCAATTACTATCCACAACTTTCACTAATGGAAAACCCCAAAAGAGCATGTTGAGTTGATTAGAGCCTTAAATGAGCATTTCTCACCTTAAATCATCATGCATGGTACTAAATAAAGCTCTTATGCTCCTCTCTAGTTTCTGGCGGGTTGGTGAAAATGCGGTAGAACAGTACATCTCGGACAGAGCTAGAACCGCCCCCTTACCATGAGGACTTGTCTTTTGAAACGGTGTGTGCGCTCAACAAATAGCTTCAACACTAACTGCTGCTAAAACCACAATGTATCCTTTTTACATTTCTATTTCTACAGAGATCAATAAGCAAGATACAACACCATAAATCAGACGTCTTTTGAGTTGTTTCTCTTATGATGAAGCTAGGCTAGCAGGTTTGTGCTAAGTTAGATGAGACACAACAGATGTTGCTGAGGTGTTTGTTTGTATGGACCTGGCAGAGGACAGCTGGTGGCAGGAGGAGTAGGCCGGGTGGGGTCCGCTGTGGGTGTGGTGGCCCAGTGGGTGGTGGTGCTGAGCTCCGGAGTGAAGCTGGGAGGACTGAGGGGGGTCCAGGCTCTCCATGCTGCCCCTAGAGCTGTACTGGTCCGGACTCTTCCTCAGGTAGCTGCCGCCCGAGTCAAACCCGCCGGACAGGTCGGTGGTAGAGGCACTGAGAGACAGAGACAGAGAAGGAAATCTTTATCAGGGAGACTCAGACATGCTTTGGCGATGGAAATGTGGCTAAATCACCACACAGACTTGAGATAACTTCGACACAGCGGCGCTTTGAGCTAAAAGCTAACATCAGCATGCTAACATGCTCAGAATGGCAATGCTAACATGCTGATGCTTAGCAGGTAATACTTATTAAATTAACCATATCAGTTTAGCGTGTTAGCATGCTAACATTTCATAATTAGCACCAAACACATAGACCGCAGCTGAGGCTGATGGGAATGTAGGTTTGCAGGTATTTTTTTGTCATTAATAACCACAGTAAGCGTAAGGGATACTTGCTCCTCCTCTCACAGTGAATCCAGACAATTAAGACATTTGAGACAATGGAAAAAGGCATTTTTGGAAAGTAGTTTTTGAAAAAGGGGAACATTTTGGAAAATTAAGAACATTTTGGGAGAGGGGACATTTTTGGAAAGTGAGGAACTTTTTTGAATAGGGGACCATTTTGGAATTTTTGACAGTTTTCTCATCAGTTTCATCGCTTTATTACAACATTTGTCTGCCTGTTTTATAACGTCTGACAGTGCACAAGCACGGACTGACAACACATTGAGTTGAGACTCTCATTTAATTCCTATACTATATCTGACATGCTGTATGTAAAGTGTGTTGTTAGATATTCATATCATAATCCATGCTGATGGCAATGAATGAAAAATGCTGGTCTGATAATCGTTGTGGTTTTTATTTTATTTCTCTTCTAAACATAAGTTTTATATATGATCAGACATAAGAAGAACTTAAAACTGGCTCGCTCACAGTGTTTTCTGGTTTATTAGGCTAGTTTTACTTTCTTTGGGCATAAATTGAGTGATCAATTTAATTCAGTGTTTTTAAAAAGTAGAACAAGATGTCCAGTAAATATCTTTAATGTGTTAATAGTCTATTCAAAGTTGAAGTGTTCCAGAAATTTTACAGGTCCAACCTCGTCAGATTGGCAGTTGTGACTTTTACATAAAATGACTCGGCTGTATTCAGACATGTGACCAACGTGTTAAATTGCCAGAACGGTTACGTAACCAGGTGCATGTCTGAAAGGGTTTTTTATCTGTTCTGGCTGTTGGTTGTAAAGTTGGGGCTTTGCTGCTGAATCTGCTGTTACCTCACTCTAGATAACTGACTGGAATGTTAAATGCGTGTGTGTGTGTGTGTGTGTGTGTGTGTGTGTGTGCGTGCAAGTATGTCTACGTCACAGTTTGACCCACCAACTCCTCCAACCGAACACAATGCAATTGCCGCTCTGGAAACGGGGACACTCTCTGTCTGTCTCTGTCTGCTTTTCTCTTTTTTTCTGTGTCAGTAACTTCTCGGAGTCTAACTTTTGTATCGCCGTCAGTCTCTTTTCTGTCAGCTGTGCTGTCCGTCCCCGGTGGATTTTTCGTCTCCTGTTTCTTAATTCCTGTTTAATTTAAAGGCAGAGCTGCAGAAATGTTGCGGCAAACTTTTTATTCTGATCCCAACTTTACTAGGGGAGGAGGGGAGGAGGGGGTTGCCATGGGAGACCCAGAGATGAGGGGGGAAGGGCATCAGGAATGCCCCTTTCTACAGGCATCGACGTCAATGCCCCGTCCACCCAACGCACACGCACGCACACACACACACACACACACACACACCACAGCCACGTCAGAGGCTTTTATTCGCCCTTCACTGCTGTTTAAAAGAAACAGTGATGTAACTTCCTCTGATGACATGAACCTGCTGATCAACAGCACCGCTTCGCAAAATACACAACAAGCACAACAATTGAACAGTTATGTGTTTATCAGGGACGACTCAATATATCACTGCAGACACTTTAACTGGGAACACACGTGATTGTGTGATATGTAAACTTGTATTATCATCATATCTGCAGACGAATCCAGCAGAAGCTCTGATTGGCCTAAAACTACTGATTCTGGAAGACGACATGGACAAAACTCTCCATAATGTCAACACACACACACACACACACACACACACACACACACACACACTCACACACACACACACATACACACACACCATAACCGAAACTAACAGCCCTAGAAAAATGAAGAAAAAAAAGTTTGCTCTCCCAAAATAATTCCTCACTTCCTAAAAATGCCCTAATTTTCCAAAAAGTTCCTCATTGTCTCAAATGTCTTAAATTTCAAAAATGTGCCCATATTCCAAAATGCCTTTAGTCTGAGGTCAGAGTTGGTACATTTTGACACTTCAGAATCAAAACACACCAAGCAGACAGTCAAAGGTCACATCACAGAACAGACAGATAGCACCTCACAGCTCCTCACGTTGATCCGTATCTGGACCTCCGTCAACTAATCAAATTCCTACCCTAGTGACACGAAGCATTGTTAGAGTGTTACGCAAACATTGTGAATGTCCAGTGAAGGTTTTAAATAAGCCGGTTTGTGTAACAGTAACCCTGATTGGCTGCGACACGGGCAAAGTCTTGTAGTCTACACTGTGTTTGTGTTGTGTTGTTATGTCATTATGTTAAACCACGACTGTCCATTAATTCCTCAGGAAAGAGATGTTGAAGCGGGACCCGTTTCACATCAGGAGTGAAGACTGGTTCCTGGTAGTCAGAGATCATATACGAGACGTTGTATGTCTCTCTGAAAACATGAACTTTGACCCTCTGAGTGACTGATAGCGGCACACAATAAACCCAAAATCCAATATTCAAAACGTCTTTGTCTTCAGACAAACACTAGTTCCCAGCATCCTGAGTAGCATAATAAAAGAGATGGTTGATTTTCTTATCTTGTGTTATTACCTTTGTGACCACAGTGCTATTGTCTCCTTATCTACAAGTACAAGTTTCCACTGAAGTGATAAGTGTACACACGGAAGAAGTCAGGCTATGAATAACTAGTTATTAATGTCCTTGGCTGGTAGATTGCTGACATTGTGAGCAGAAAATCTGCTAAAACTATCGCAATTCTTTCATATCTGTACACACAGGAAGTACAGCGCAAAGCCTTTGGAGCTACACAAGACATCGATATATGATGTAAAACATGTGCAGGTAACAAATACATACATACATATATATATATATATATATATATATATATATATATATATATATATAATCGCTACACTTCCTGTACTAAACTGTCTACCAGCTCAGTGTTGTTGGTACCCAGGTCTGCGGAGATTCACACTGCTGCACACAAATGTGTGTTTTCTGACACTTGGATTGGTGAAAAATTAGTGCACAATGTTCACATTTCTCCTGTAACAGTTTTCCAAGATCGCAAGATCAAAACTATATTTAGAAATAGGACAAGTTTGTTCACACTGGATCTTCCTGATAGATTTTTTTCTTTAAATTCACATTATTTCCCTCTGTTAGCAACATATTGGCTACATAGCTGCTGACCGGCTAAAAAACAAGTGATTCAAGGAAGCCACAAGTTTGGCATTTTGTGCCATCACTATCTGATTTGTTTTTGCAACCAGTGAACGGAAGTGACCATATTTGGACTGTGGAGGAGTGACGCCGTGGTAGAGACACCGTATACGGCTCTGATAGCGACCCTAAAGCATCCCCTGCTTTATGGTCTGTTTGACTCTAAATGGACCATCACTTACTAAATGAACATCATGCTGTATTGAAGAAGACTTGAAACTAGAGATTGAGACCATAAACTCATGTTTACAATGTTTACTGAGGGAATAAATCAAGAGAGAAGTAGAGTCATTCTCTCATAGACTTTGGCCATGAGAGAAAATGCAGTTTAAGTCACTTCTACATTGGCTTCACTTTTCGGAACCAGAGGTTACCGCCTGTCCTCGAGTCTGAATAGACTTTTGTGCCAAATTTGACAAAAAAAACCTCCAGGCTTTCCTGAGACATTGCGTTCACACTAATGGGGCGGACCAACAACCCGAAAATGCCTCCAGCCTCAGCCAGCGCCAAGGCATAAAAATGGTGGGTTAGCGCAAAACGAGGGGCCCGGGGAAATGATGGAGTTTTATCAGAGCTGTTTTTGATCACTGACCTGGCATGGTAGCTGTGGTGCCAGGCGCTGCTCATCGTGTCCATCCCTCCCTTATCCGACGTTTGTTGACCTTCACCGAGCTTCGTTGAATGCCAAGAGTGAGGACGGGACGCCGGCTCACTGCGTCTGCGGGGTTGAAATACACAGACGGAGTTAGCGTGTGTGCAGTGTTTGACTCGCGTTTTCAATGCGACAACGCATTCTGCTTCAAACTCAAGGGTATAACAACATGCATTATCTGTGGAGGAAGTCAAACTTGACACTTGATTGACCCTGACAGATTGATACCACTCTCATATCTGTACATATGTAGCTAAACCACCAGTTGGTTATCTTGGCTTAGCATAAAGACTTGAATCAGGGGGAACAGCTAGCTTGGCTCTGTCCAAAGGTTACAAAATGAACTTTCCAGTTCCAGCTGAGTCTAGGCAACCAGATTCCATTAAGGTACTGGTCCACCACGAAAAATGGTCGGGCACTTGTAATTTTTACACTTCAGTTTTCTTTGAAAATTATAGAAATAAAGTGTTATTTGGTGAGCTTTCGATGTGCTTGGCAACACTTTTTAAAGCACTGGGTACCCCTCTAGTGCCAGTACTCAATGTGCAAGGTAGTCCGATAGCCTTCAACACGTGGGTAATGTTGTGAAATTAAACAAAATCACTTCATTAGTTTAGTAAAAGATCATGGTTTGGGTTAAAATAAGTAGGTTTGTTATGTTCGCAAGGCAAGTATGTTACATAAGTTAACTTGCCAGTTACAACGAGAAGTTTTTGGTTTCACACAGGACACAAACAGCGGTCTCCTGGGTGAAAGTCCTATGTTCATTCATCCACCCCGTCGTCTTCCCTATGCAGACTTTATCTCTTGTTTTACTGCGTCACCATACTTCCTACTTAACTCCCGTCTTATTTAATATTTAACGAGTTGGGAGTGAGAGCGGGTCGTATGCGCACATGCTTATCAATTTTGAAAATGCTGCCAGATGTAGAACATTTTCTACAGTTAAATCTTAAACTTAAAGGTCAAACAATAAGGTCAATGTGATTGAGGATATTTAAAGCTGCAACAAGCTCATCAGCTGCTGACTCATCTTTCTGTGTGCTGATGAATTAAACACGGTATTAATGATGGATCAGGTTTCAGATCCTGTAGATGTCCACCCTGTCTGTCCTCAGAGTCAGCAGCGGTTTAACTTTCCAACTGACCATATTTTTCATACTTGAACCATAACAGCATAATGCATCCACGGGCACTTGTATAGACACTATTAAGATAATGTTTTATCAGAGATTATCTATAAAGGCAAAATCACATCTAACTTACTGCAAGAAACCTAATAAGTGCATCAACGTAATCCATCAACAAAGGATGAAGCATGTGTACTGTAGAACTCAGAAAACTCATTTGAGAGGGATGTACTTTCAATTTTGAACAACAGTCTCAACAACAGAACTGGAACTAGAAAACGGATCATTTCCACATTAAATATTATCCTGCTGTGTCCTCCCACGGTAACACATCACACACACACACACACACACACACACACACACACACACACACACACACACACAGCAGCATGGTCTCCACAGAGCTCTAACTCAACCTCTTCCTATCTCTGCCTCTCCCTTCTATTCCAATTGAGGGAAATGCTCAAATACTTTCAAGCTCCGCACTGTAGAAAAAAAGTAAATTCTCACCACTGTTCTCACTTAGAATTTGAACACACATGCTGTTTTCCTTCAGTAAATATTTCCAGTCACCTCCACTTTGCTGTTTTTTCCATTAATGTTATGCTGCCGTCAAAGAAACTCAACACTTCCTTTACTGGTTGGCTTTTAATTCCCCGGAGGTGTTGAGTTTCATGGACGATAACTGAACAGCAATGATGAAAAAATGAATGAAAAAAAGAAACAGCAATGTCAGAGTGTGTGTTTTGTTCTTTTTCAAACAATGAACTGCACTTCAAAAAAAAAAGAAAATGGTGATAACATTTCAGGGACTAAATGAGTGATGTGTTTTTGTTTGCAGTGATAATCTTTATGACATCACCGTCATCATTTTTGAATGTGTTATCTAACCAGTTGTGATAAGAGACGTCGGATAGCTTGGCGGTTGCAAACATCTTCCCCATCCTCGTTATATTTGACATGTTCAGCTGCTCCGTATTCATCCACACAGATAAACAGGAAACGATTGTATCTGAGTAAGTAGGAGACAGAGACATGAAAGCCCGCGTGTCTGTGAACCCCGGGAATCCTGGGTAATGATGGGACGTGACTGGAATTCCTCAGCGCGTTATCACTGCTGTTACACGTGTCCAGATAGCCTTCACCCTCGGCCATCAGCTCCCGGGGGACGGGCTCCAGGACAGAATGGTATGATTTGGTCTGAGCTTCAGTCTATTTCTGAAACATGGACCGCACTAATGCACATCCATGCAATCACACCACACCAAGGTTGTGTCAAAGTCTTCAATGTCACATCTGAGTCGTAAATGTCATGTCAAAGTTGTACATTCCACAAATTCCAAATATTTATTGTCTCTAGATCCTACAAAGGCGTTATGACAAAGAATCCTCACACTGCAGTTAAGGAAAAAAGGGGAAGAGAAGGGAACCTCTCAATATCAAATGAGGCCTGGTTAGATGTGTGTAAATTTCAATGGAAATGCACCAATTCTAATGTGTGGCGGGAATTTGTACGGAAGTGTATTATTCGTTTCTTTATTACACTGAAGCAGAAGGCGCGCTTTGCTGGAGGGGATGCTACATGTTGGAGACGGTGTGGGGCTCGGGAAGCAAATCACTGGCATATAATTTGGGAGTGTCCAGTGATGCAACCTTTCTGGGCAGAGTTCCATAAAACATTAAAAATCATACTTAACACTGACTTGCCCCTGCAATTTTCTACATTCTTCTTAGGAAAATTTGATTCTCAAGCAGGGCGTCCAGATGAATACCTGTTTGGCATTTTAATAACAGCTTGTAAAAAAGCACTGGTTGCTTCCTGAGCCCCCCATGATACAGGAGTGCATAGATATCGTAGGTGTGTATGAACAATACTTATATGGTCGACAATGTAGAACAACAACACTCCCGCAGCTGTCCACTTCACTTGCATTCAAAGATATTTATCAATAAATATCTATGAATGCAAGTCAAGACAACAGTTTGCGGGAGTTTTGTTGATCTATATTAAAAGAAATGTCTTAGGTCTATTTTAGGTCAATTTTTTTAGGGTTAAATTCACAAAAACATTGCGCCCCTTTTGCGCTTTTTTTTTCTATGCATATTAGCCTCATTGCAAAAACAGTCCAATTCACAAAGACCAGTGCTGAAAGCCACATGCAATTACAGTGTTATTATTATCGTCTTTAGAGAGTTTGTGGTATCTGAAGTGAATTTATAAAGCATGGCGACTCAAACTCTGTTATTTTACGATGCAGTGACAGGAAGCAATGACAGGCTTGTCATGAAAGACAAAGGATGAAAGATCCCCTACATGTTATTTTTGAACATGCAGGAGAATGATTTCTTTTTTTTTTTTAAATCAAAAAAAAAAAAAAAAAAAAAAAAAAAAAAAAAATATAAATATAATATAAATATAATAAAAATTAAAAAAAAATATAAATATTAT